GGAAAGCAGCCAGCAGTTGGCCAAGCGGCAGGGGGAGGCAGGTACTCCTCTCTCCCCTTAGGCAGGCAGCGGAAGTGAGAGAGGTGTTGGTGCCCCTTCCCTGGCATGCCCACCTGGCTCACCCGTGGATGGTGGGCTTGATTTGTTACCCCTTCCCTGCCAGCTGCCTCCAGGAGCAGGGCGTCCAGGATTCCATGTCAGCCCCCCCTCCCCCCACGCCAACCCCAACAGGGCCAGGGCGGAACCCTGAGTGCCGTTCCCACACTGGGGGGGCCTCCTCAGGACCAGCCGATCACTTCCTATTGGCAGAGCTGGTCTTGGGGAGTCCATGCTGGGCTCTGCCTCTGCCCGGCCCCCAGGGCTCCAGGCAGGGGGACATTTTCTCCCGAGGGCCACCTCTGGTGGGGCCCCTAGAGCATGCTGGGCCTGGCACTTATCTGCTGGGCTCGGGGCTCTGTTTACCACCAGCCATCGCTGTGGAGACGAGCCTGGGGGAGAAGGGGGGGCGGGAGCCGGCTGCTGGAAGAGTGAAGCCCTGGGATCCGCATGCCTAATGAACGAAAGAGGAGCCAACCGGGACACTGAAATTTTAATTCGTGGGTCACTCTGGGGGGGTGTTATCATTCAGTTCTCATTGGCTGCGTGGTGGCCAGTCAGCACCCTGGCCGGGTGGGGAGCCCCACAACTGTCCGCCGAGGCCCTTGGGGGAGCAGCGGCTGATGTGCCCTTTCCTCTGTGTGGGGAGACTGAGGCCCTGCAGAGCTCAGCTTGCACCCGGGGGGGAAGGTTCTGAGGCAGTAGCAAGCCCTTGTATTTTCTCTTTCCCGTTTTTTCTTTTCCTTGGGGTTCCCTGACCCCCACGCAGCACGATGGGGCTGGTGGCAGTCTCCACTGCTATATGAGGAAACTTGAGGCCCAGAAGGGAGGCCAAACGTGAGCATGGGAGTTCTGAGGCTTAGAGCAAGCCTGGGAGCGGCCGCTGTGCTGGGCAGGGGATCCTGAGGCCCAGGGCAAAGCAGCAAGCAGCCCAAAGTCACCCGGCTAGAGCTGCGTCTGACCCTTGTCGTCCTGCCTCCCAACTCAGAATGTGGCCAAAGTCCTCCCTGTGTCACAGCTGAGGGGCACCTACCCACCCATCTTCCAGAGGGGGCCGGCAGTGACAACAGGCACCTGTCGGCCAAATGGAGCTTCCCAGGAGCTCGTGAAACCTTTTGCCCAGAGGATAGTGCGGCTCAGAGAGGGCCAGCAAGGCGTCCAAGGTCACACAGCACGGGTTCTGGTCCTCCTGCCTCCCAGCCTCCCAAGCAGGCACTTTTATGATACACAAGGCCCTTTTCCAAGCCACACCCCTCATCTTGACGCCGTAGAGTCAGGCAGGGGTCTGCCTTTTTTGATCCATTATACCGTAGACCGAGGTCACCTCACAAGAGCCAAGGCGTGGGGCTGGCTCCTCTGCAGCAGAGGAGTGTCTGCTGGGGCTTTGAATGCTGGCCCACTTGTTCTGTGACCTTGGATAAGCCCCTTGGCCTCTTGGAGCCCAAGCGTTCCCCTGTGACAGGGATTGTTGTAAGGTCCTCTCAGGTGACACCTGTAGAGCTGTGTGTCTTCTCTCCCCTCCCACATGAAGGGAGCACCTGGATCAGCCCAGGGCACAGCAGGGACTCTGTTGAAGTGTGTGGTCCGCCCAGCCAGCGCCTGAGACACTCGGCACCCCCCACCTGTCACCTTGTGCCCCAGGCACCTGGTCGACCATAAACCGCCCTGCTACAGCCCTGGGCAGTGGGGACCAGAGGAACAGGCTTGGGTGGGGGCCGGTGAGGCCCAGGCCCAACCCGGTTCTCCCATCCGCCTGAGGTCCGCCTAGGGAGGTCCCTTTGCCTCTGCCAACCTCAGTTTTGCCATCAGTACAATGGGGAGATTACCTTCGGCTCCAGGGTGTCATCCTGAGTATTTGCTCAGTGGCTCCCCAGGAACTGTTGCCGGGCAGTGTCAGGGCCTGAGGCAGCCCCTCCCTGCACCCAGGGGTCAGGGCTTGTGCTGTGAGTTCACGGATGTCAGCTGGGCTCCAGCCCTGCCTGGGCGCCATGTGACCTCAAGCCAACCTCTCCCTTTTCTGGCCCATCGTATGCAGGTGTTGACGGGGGTGAGAATAAACTGACCCCAGTCCGAAGGACCCCAGGGTGGGGGGGACTTAGTCCTCTGCCAGTACCTGAGGGAAAGGAAGGGGGATGGAGCTCCAGGAGGACTCGTTTGGCAGGACAGAGCCAGATGGTCTGGGTTCCAGCCTGGCTCTGGCTCTGCTGTGTAACCCTGGGAAAGTCGTTTTCCCTCTCTGAGCCTGTTTTCTGCCTGCAAAGTGGGGCAATGATTACAGACCCTGCTTCCCTGAGCTGCGAGGTTCCATGCTGAGATGGTTAAGATTAGGACCCCAAGCTCTGTTAGGGAGCCATCTCTGCTTTGGGGGCCCAAGTCCTTTTTGCAGCACCAAAACGCAAGAGGTGCCCTGCAGCGAATCTAGCACTCATGAGGAGTGTGGCCAAAGGACTGGCCCCTCCATCTGTTCCCCCAGCAGGCAGTGGACGGCCACTCAGTGGAAGTGTCCCCACCCACACCTTTCTGGTTTGACTGGAAAACAAGACTAGGTCCCACCTCCCATCAGGATGCGTTCAATGGGCGGGAAGTGGCCAGATTTGTGGGCATAGGGCACTATGGGGCTCCAGTAAGCTGGGCACCCCTGTGTCCGGGGCTTCCAGGCTGAGCCTGTCTCCTGCTGAGGGTGGGGGTAGGGGTGGTGCAGGTGCCCCCAGGTGACAAGCAGGCCTCGGGGGAGGGCGGGCGAGAGGAGCAGGGCTCCTAGAGGTCACCCAGGCCTCCACAGGGCATTGTGGATAAGCAGGTCCAGCCTGAGCAAGGGTGGGGTAGGCAGTGATGGAGTTCTGTGAAGCCTGGCTTGCTTTCCTCTGGTGACGGGAAGCTCATTCTGTCCACTGTGCCATGAATGGCTGTCTTCCCAGGGCTTCCTCTTGGAGCTCTGCGTTGGTGTTGGGGCTGTACTTCCTGACCCGTGGCAGTACTCAGAGCGTGGGAACAGGGTGGGCCTCAGCCCCACCCAGCGGTTGGGGGTCAGATGGGATCCCCATGACCTCCTCATCCTCCGTCCCCCACCCCCCCATACACACTTCCCACTGGGCCCACAGCCTTCCTGCCTCTGGCCCTTTAAGGCCCAGGCAGGAAGCCCCTCCCCATTTAGGGCAATAAATGGACACATAAAATGGCCGAGGGCCTGTTTGCTGGTGTCTGGCCCAGAGGGAGGCCTGTGAGGACAGGCTGGCAGGGGACGGGCTGGTGGCTGGCAGCTGGCAGCTACGCTGGGCCGTTGGTGCCCCCCACCCCCCAATCAGGACACTGCATTCCTGCCCCATTAAATCCCAGGCCGGGGACCGGGCCAGGCGGGGATTGGCACCAGGTCAGGGCGGGGTAACCCGTTGGGACCAACCTTGCAACACAGGCCGCCAGGCTGGGCCGGGACGGGATGGGGCGGGGGTGGCCGGGCGTGGGCCTGGCAGCTGCACCTGGGCACCAGACTTGCTGTGTGACCTTGGGCTGGCCACCCACCCTCTCTGGGCCTGGTTGTCTTCTCCAGCCGACAGCTCCACTCCCCTGCCTCCCTCCTGGGGCCCTGCCACACTCTTCCTTAGCATGTAGTAGGTAGGGAAAGGGCTGAATACCTGGAATGATGTTCACAGTTTGCTCAAAGCCCCACTTCCACAAGAGGAGGGGGGAAGGGGCTCGTTGGGCCTTTAGGGACTGGCGCTGGTACACAGCAGGTTCTTGGGTGGTTTGCTGAATGGGCAAGAGTGTGACCTAGGGCCTAGAGCAGTCCCAGCCCCCTTGCCACTGTCGCCATCCCCGAGGAAACAGGCACAGAGAGGCACAGCCTTTTGCCCAAGGTCACAGTTTAGAAGTGAAGAGTTGGGATTTAGACCCGGGCTGCCATGCATGGCACATAGTGGGTGTTGGAGTTCCCTCTGGTTTCCTTTGCTATTCTCTGGAGGTCGGAGGTGGGGGGTGCTTAACCTCTCATTGAGCTGTCCCCACCCCTTCTGCCCCCAGACACTCCCCCAGGAAGACATCTGGTCACAGTTAACCTGCCCACCTCCCTGCTGACTGCCCCCTGTCCTTCCTGAGGAGGTGTTGGGGGGATTGGACCCAACCCCAACCCTCACCTTGCACCTGACCTTGGGAAGCTGCCTCCTTCCCCCATCCCCTCTCCCAGGCCCCCACCTCCAGGCCTTCATCTCTGCTGTTCCCCATGCCTGGGACACCCTTCCCTTGATCCTGGAGCCCCGCCTGGGTGACACCTGATGCCCCTGCGATCAGGTTGGGGTGCTCCTCAGCTCAACCCATACCCCCAGCGGTTGAGGGGTGGCAGCTCAGGTTGTCTGCAGTCAGAGAGTCTGAGTCCCAGCCCGGCTGTCTCTCGGAGCCTCTCTTCATCTGTAAAGCCCAGGGCTCTACAGTGGGAAAGATGAGGTAAAGATGCCCAGTTAGTTCCTGGAAGTTCTGGGGCATAGAATTGGTCCCCAGGAGGGCCGAAAGCAGGCCCGGGTGCTGCTGCCTCGGGTCCTGCGGTAGCAAGTGACCCCAGGTTAGATGCCAGGTGGGTCCTGGGCTGCCACTGGCCAGGTGAATGGGGCTGGGAGTGGGCTCTCTCAGGCCCATTGTGCTTTGGCCTTTGGTTCATGCAGTTGCTGGCTGCCCCCCTACTGTGCGCCACCCTGGGGAGGGCCCAGCGTGGGGGCCTGGGAGCAGCCTGGAGGGAGGAGGGCGCCCCACCTCCAGCCCAGGAGGAGCCTGCCGAGGCCTGCCCCTCGGCCGAGTCAGCAATGAGGGCCCCGGAAATCCCACGGCGGGCAAGCACAGGGGTGGAGCTGTGATGAAAGACGCCCTGGGTGGGTGTGGGCCTGAGCTCAGGGGACCCTGGCCGTTGAGGGTGGGGACCTGGCCGGTGTGGGGGTGGGGCTTCCTGGAGGAGAGAAGTTTCGTTGGATCGTCATTACTGAGGAAACCGCCATGTGTGGGGTACCTACTAGGTGTTAGGTGCTAGCCGGTCCTCTTAGAGCAAAGGGAGCTCCAGGCTCTCCTGGTGAGATGCCGTGGCACACAGTGGGTGTTCAGCAAATGGGTGCTTTTCATTGCTGAGACCCTGCTTGACGCCTCGAGGGGGCTCAGCAGCCAGCCCTCCCCTGGGTCACAGGGTCTTCCGCCTCTTTCTTGGAGGGAGGGCCCCAAGAGGCCCAGGTGGGGGCAGTGGCCCAGGGTGTGGCAGGCAGGTGGCCTGTGTTCCTGGAGGGAGGGTGTGGGTCAGGTATCTGCAGAGCCAGTCCAGTTTCCAGGACAAGGGAAGAGGCAGTGGCTTGCTAGGTGGGGGCCCTTGGACAGGATTCTAGCTGTCTTTGGGCCTTGGTTTTCCTGTCTGTATAGTGGGGGCTCGTGCTACCCTCACAGGGGCTCTCCTGGGCTGGTATCACCCCAGGCCTGGCCCATTGCAGAGAGAGTCTCCGGTGGTTATCTGGGGAAGTAGATAAGCTAAGACAGGGACATGCACACGGACACGGAGATAGAACCCCAACCAACAGGCTGCCCCGTGAAACAGGACCTTTGCATGTGGTCCCTGGCCCATCTGGCGGAGCCCTAGACACAAGGCTCAGTCCGGTCTGCAATCAAGGCCTCTACTTGATCTTTCCCAGCCAGGCAGCTTCCAGTGACTAGGAGCCTGGGCATCTTCATCTGGGAGGTAGAGCCGTGCCAGACCCTTGGCCCAGCGTGCGGTGGGTAGGCAGGAGTGGAGCGGCCCATCTCAGGTCCTGACCTAGAGGCCCCTGGAGACACCTCAGAGTCCAAGGGAACCTTGGGGCACCTGGGGACGGCTGGAGCAAGCAGGGCCATGGTGGCCATCTTGGGGCGTTGGTGGCCCGGATGGGGGGTGCAAGGAGGGGCTGAGGCTGGTCTGATCCAGAGCCCCATCTGCCCACTAGCTCTTCAGGGCCTGGGGCCAGACGGCAGATGGTGGCAGGGGGTGGAAGCCACCATCGGGGCTCCTCCGAGGCCTCCCGTGGATGAGACTCAGCTGGGGTCACCCCCCCATCCTCTGCTCCCAGCAGCCACATCGGAGCCTCCCCCACCCAAATGGGCTGGTGGAACAGTGGGGGGAAGCCGAGCAGCTGGTGCAGTCGGCGGGGGGAAGGGAGGGCCGCAGACAGAGGTGTCCTGGGAACTGTAGTGCCTGCCTGAGTGTCAGCCCCGCGGCCTGGACCCCGCTTCCAGGGTGTCCCTGGGTCACAACGGTCCTGCTCTGGCCTTGGGTCCGGCCAGGTCCAACCCCAGACGTCCATGCTGGGCTCGCTGGCTGCATCCCACCTGGCGCACAGTAGGAGAGCTCCAGGTTAGGGCTGGGCTGGGGTACTTGGCTGGAGGGCTGGGGGGCCTGGGCTCCTTAGGAGGCAGAGGGAGGCCCAGCTTTGGCCTTCTCTCTGATGTCCAGTGGCTCTGGCCTGAGAGCTGGCTGGTCTGGCCCAGAGGAATGTGGGTTGTGTTGGGGGGCTTGGGGCAGCTGGGAGCTCCCCAGAGAGGGTGGAGGGGTGGGGCCAGGAGCAGGAGGGTTGCACAAGCACCCGAGTGGGTGGATGAGTCACAGCCTAGGGGAAGGCGGAAAAAAGGAGGGGGAGGGGGCGGGACCGACAGAGTCGTCTTAGTCCCTTGTGCGCCCCGCCCCACCCCATGGCGGGCTCTTCCAAAGTGCCTTTGCCCATTTGACAGATGGGGAGACTGAGGTCAGGGAGTGACATGACCTTGTCCCAGGTTGAACAGTGTGGTCGAGGCAGAGAGTTGGGGAGAGGCTGGGCAGGCATGAGGCGCACAGGAGGCCCCTGGCCCCCTGCTCCTCCTTGCGGGGGTTGGCCCCGGCTGGTAGAAGGAGCCTTGTGGGGGGTGGCCTGGTTTCCCCCCTTACTCACCACTGGGGCCCAGCTGCCTCCTGAGGGCTGCACAGGGCAGGAAGGCATTTGCCCTGCAGGCACTGACTCCACCCCACCAGGGCACGCCCACCGCCCTGTTGACCGGCTGGGTCTCCAGGTCTCGGCCTCACCCCCTCTGCTGACTCAAAGACCCCCAAGAGGATGGGGCCTCACTGGGAGGCAGGAGAGAGGGTCAGGGAGGCTGAGGGGCAAGATGGGGATGGATGGCCAGGCCAGTTGAATGTTGGCTCTAAGATTGGACACCCTGGGTTTGAGTCGGGGTGCAGCTGAGCTGCCTCGAACCAAGAAGTACCTTGAGTTCTTCCCTGCTCCCTGGGCCCCATTTCTTCGCCTCTGCAGTGGAGACCCTGCTGCTGGGAGAGGTCTTGTGTCACTGCCATGGCTTCCCAGAGAGTGTGGGCAGAGGCAGATGCCTGCACTCTATTCCATTAGGGGGCAACCTGAGGGCATTTGTTGAGCGCCTACTGTGTGCTCTCACACCACCTAAGCGCCCCTTGGACGGGTGCTCTGGTGGGGCTGCTAGTGAATGGGAGGGTGTCCGGGCTGGTCTCTCGAACACCCAGTGTGGGTTTTGCCAGCATAGTCTAATGTTGAAAATGCAGAAATGGGCATCGACTGCCCTTGTCCACAAGGCTTGGGAAACTGAGGCTCGGGGGGCTGGGTGAGGGACTACTTTCGGGGGTTTGGAGCGCCAGCTGGTGTGCTGTCGCATCCCCTCAGTCCTAATAACTGCCTTCCCTCCCTGGCACGGCAGGTCTCGGCGCGGAAGATGGCCGGTGGCGTGGACGGCCCCATCGGGATCCCGTTCCCCGACCACAGCAGTGACATCCTAAGTGGACTCAACGAGCAGAGGACGCAGGGCCTGCTGTGCGACGTGGTGATCCTGGTGGAGGGCCGCGAGTTCCCCACACACCGCTCGGTGCTGGCAGCCTGCAGCCAGTACTTCAAGAAGCTGTTCACGTCGGGCGCCGTGGTGGACCAGCAGAACGTGTATGAGATTGACTTCGTCAGCGCCGAGGCGCTCACAGCCCTCATGGACTTCGCCTACACGGCCACTCTCACCGTCAGCACGGCCAATGTGGGTGACATCCTCAGTGCTGCCCGCCTGCTCGAGATACCCGCCGTGAGCCACGTCTGCGCCGACCTCCTTGACCGGCAGATCCTGGCGGCTGACGCGGGTGCCGACGCTGGACAGCTGGACCTCGTAGATCAAATTGATCAGCGCAATCTCCTCCGCGCCAAGGAGTACCTTGAGTTCTTCCAGAGCAACCCCATGAACAGCCTGCCCCCCGCGGCCGCCGCCGCCGCTGCCACCTTCCCCTGGTCCGCCTTCGGCGCATCCGACGATGACCTGGATGCCACCAAGGAAGCCGTGGCCGCTGCCGTGGCTGCTGTGGCTGCCGGTGACTGCAATGGCTTGGACTTCTACGGGCCAGGCCCCCCGGCCGAGCGGCCTCCCGCCGGGGATGGTGACGAGGGCGACAGCAACCCCGGTCTGTGGCCAGAGAGGGATGAGGACACTCCTGCCGGGGGCCTCTTCCCGCCCCCTGTGGCCCCTCCAGCCACTGCCACGCAGAACGGCCACTACGGCCGGGGCGGGGAAGAGGAGGCGGCCTCGCTGTCAGAGGCGGCCCCTGAGCCCGGCGACTCTCCAGGCTTCCTCTCGGGCCCAGCTGAGGGTGAGGATGGGGACGGTGCCGACGCGGACGGGCTGGCGGCCAGCACGCTGCTCCAGCAGATGATATCGTCGGTGGGCCGGGCGGGGGCGGCTGCGGCGGGGGACAGTGATGACGAGTCACGGGCGGATGACAAGGGCGTGGTGGACTACTACCTGAAGTACTTCAGCAGCGCCCACGATGGTGACGTCTACCCGGCCTGGTCGCAGAAGGTGGAGAAGAAGATCCGGGCCAAGGCCTTCCAGAAGTGCCCTATCTGTGAGAAGGTCATCCAGGGCGCTGGCAAGCTGCCCAGGCACATCCGGACCCACACGGGGGAGAAACCCTATGAGTGCAACATCTGCAAGGTCCGCTTCACCAGGTGAGCCGGCGCCAGTGTGGCAGGGGTGGCCGGGGGCACCTGGGCCCTTTGCACAAACGAGCACATGTGGACCCCAGGCCTACACACACACGCACACGCACACGCACACACACACACGCACATGCACACCTCCGTGTGCATATGCATCGCCGCCCTGGGGAATGGCACCTTCTCTGCTTCCAGGCAACCCCCCCTTCCCCCCGCCCGCCCTGTGTGCCCCTGGAGAACAGCTTGGGTCTGGGAGACCGCAGCACTCAGTGAGATGTCCACATCAATTATATAAGCCCACCGGGCCGTGCTGAGCCAAGGGAGGCCAGGAGGAAGGGCCCAAGGAGTTGCTCTTCTTCTTTTTCCTGGGGGTAGTTCTTCTCCTTGAGACTGGAGGACACAGCTCACTGTGGGAGAGGGTGGCAGCCCATGGGGCGTGGGGAGCCATTGTGTCACTTTGAGCCTCCCATGAGCCTGGTGAACGTGCTCCGTCCAGCCCACATTTATGGAGCACCTGCTGGGTGCCAGGCCCTGTTCTGGGTGCTGGGGACGCAGAAGTGGAGACAGGCCAAAATCCCGATGGGGGCACTGGAGCGTGCATGAGGCAGAACCTCAGAGCTGATGACACTCGTTGGTGGAGCGTGTTGCACAGTAAAAGAGCAGAGAGCCAGGTGGGCTTGGGAGGGGAGGCAGCTGTAAGTGGGCCTTGAAACAGAGTTGAGACCCGAAGGAGAGGGAGGTTGCCTTGGGGAGAGAGAACAGCAGAGTGAGCAGCCTGTGCAAAGGCCCTGAGGCCAGTTCAACTTGGGGATTGCTGTGGCCAGTGGGGGAAAACAGTGGGAGCCACTGAGCTTGATCCCTGGACTGGAAGAAGTTGAGGCCAGGCTGCGGGGAGTTTGTGGTTCAGTCTTAGGAGTCCCAAGGTGGCCAGCTAGGCCCTGTGGACCAGTGTGGTAGGGGCTGGGGGCTGGCGTGCTGGGGCCTGGCCAAGCTAGGTGACTCAGCATCACCCCTTACCCCCGCCTGCCCTGGGGTTCCCCCAGCCACACCCACCAGGCCGAAGAAAGAGGCTATTGTCCCAGCTTCCAGGCCCCACCCCATGGGGACCAGATCTGGGAGCTGACCCCCAGCCTGGTGCCCCTAGCCCCCTCCCCAGCAGGCCAGGAGAGGAGGGTGTGGCCCAGACTCCAGAGCCCAGGAGTGCCAGGCAGGGGCAAAGGGCACCGGCTGGGAGGCAGGCAGACTTGTTGGTGGCCTGGCCCCCCGTTTTGGTGATGTTGGGGTGCTGGTGGTCTTAGGGGCTCCCTTTTCCTCTAGACAGTGATACTGAGATGGCAGTGGGCTTGTCTGCCCTTGGGATTCTCTGGGTAGCAGAGTGGAAGCCCAGCAAACCAGGGTCTGGAGCAGGAACCAGGCCGAGCAGACAGGGCCCCGGGCCCGCCCTAATCAGAGGGCTGAGGCTGTTTCATTCTGACCTGAAACTGTGGCCACCCCACTGCCGATCCAGGACTGATCCTATTTGCCCGTCAGAGAAACTGAGGCAGAGGGAGGGGCTCTGGGCCAGGCCTCTTCCCCCCAGGAGCCCACCTGTCACCCCCTTGGCCCCTGACCCAGGGCCCCAGCCCCCACCCCTTCCTGCAGACTAGGGGAGCCTAGGGGCCTCTCTGAGTCACACTAGAGAGTTGAGTAAGCAGGGCCTGTGGCAGCCGGGGCTATAATTACCCAGGCCAGGGCTTGGGGTGACGAAACTGGGGCTGCCTCCACCCCCACCCACCTCAAAGCAGCCCCTGACCCACTGTGTGACTCGGGGCAAGTTACTTTCCCTCTCTGAACAGCAGCCAGGAAAATTTCGATACAGCGCTAGAGACAGTACCAGGGTCTACTGCCCCTCCGAGACCCAGCCTTGTGCCTGGATCTGGGCAGGGTATTCAGGCAACCATATTAGCAGGCTCTGAGGGTGGGGGGGCCGGTGGGGGAAGGAGCTCCTGGAAATTGTGTTGCCTTGCTGGCGACAGACCCAGTTAGTCCAGGGAGTGATGAGTTGGTTATGGCCAGAGTTCCGTTGGCTCATGTCAGGGATAACAAGGCTAGCGAGCAGGCAGGGGTCTGGTTGCAGAGGGCTGGGCACTGGCTCAGGGCACTAGGTAGCCATTGCAGGTGGGCTTTGAAGGATGAGTAGGAGTTTGTCCATCCTGGCATTGAAGGACAGTGGATGTGAAAAGGAAGAGGCCCAGAGTGGCTCAAATGTAGGGTGCTAGAGGCTGCAGCAAGGAGTGAGTGGGTCAGATACTGGCCAGGACTCCAGAGACCCAGTCCCTGCCCCTGCCCTGTGGATTCCAGGAACCCACTCTCATGTATGGACCAGCACAGGGCACTAGAAATACTGTGTGAGTCACCTGTGTGATTGTATATTTTCTGGCAGCCACATTTTTAAAAAGTAAAAGGAACAAGTGAAGTAATTTTAATTGTATTTTATGTAACCCATTAGATCCATTTCAACATGTCACAATGTGCAAAATGTTAAGAGCTATTTTACATTACATAGAGCAAGTGAAGCCTTCAGAATCTGGGGTGCCTTTGCACTTCTAGCACATCTTGGACTGGCCGCATTTCAAGGGCTTGGGCCACGTATGGGCAATGGCTGCCATATAGGATAGAACAGCATGTGGGCGGTAGACACCCCAGGGCTGATACAGAGATATGCTGAGCCGAGTCCACACTTCCCTATGGGTTAAAATGGGTGTGGAGAGGCCCTGGAATCACCCACCCCCTGCTGTCCGAAGGCTCACAGGCCAGTCAGGGTGTCAGATGAGAAACAAGAAAACAGTCCAAAAATGAGAGGCAGATGGTAGAGGCATGAGGGATGGGGGTCAGGGAAGAGGGGTTAGTCTGGGAGAGCCTCTCTGAAGAGGTGACATTTCAGCTAATATTTAAATGTGAAGATGTGGAAGAAAAAAGTACTCCAGGCAGAAGGAACAGCATGTGCAAAGGCCCTGGGGTAGCCTCATGCTTAGTTAGCATGTTGGGGCAACAGCCAGGAAGCCAGGGTGGCCAGAGCAGAGACTGGCAGAGACTGGGGGCCAGAGAGTGGGGTCTTGGTTACTGTAGTAACCAACTGCTCTGCTTTGTAGGGAAGTTGAGGGGTGGGTTTCCCAGGACATAGAACTTTCAGTGCTGAAAGCAGGATGGCTGGTCACCCTTTTACTAGACACCTAGCATCGTGCCATATGCCGTGTAGTATTTCCAGCACCTGGTCTGATACAGGGTCTGGTACTCAGCAGGTGCTCAATAATTGCCTGTGGTGTGAATGAATACACCTGCCACTTGGCACAGCCCCAGGTGGGTGGCTCATTTATCTTCCTTCTTCTATGGATAGGAAAAGGGATTGAGAGAGGTTCAACCACTTGCCCAAGGCCACACAGCCCACAGTGTCCAAGACCCTTTTCAGACCCTCTGCAGCCCTCCCTGGGCACCCCCCATCCCATTTTAACAGGGACCGAGTGTGCTGGAGCGCTGACTATCCGCAGCCCCTGGCAGAAACGCACCTTTCCAAAACGTTCGGACCTCCAGGCCAGTGGGGTCGGGGGGCTGTCCCATGAGGACCCCAGCCCGGCGCCCGCTGACCCTCGCCCCGTCCCCAGGCAGGACAAGCTGAAGGTGCACATGCGGAAGCACACGGGCGAGAAGCCGTACCTGTGCCAGCAGTGCGGGGCGGCCTTTGCGCACAACTACGACCTGAAGAACCACATGCGCGTGCACACGGGCCTGCGCCCCTACCAGTGCGACAGCTGCTGCAAGACCTTCGTCCGCTCCGACCACCTGCACAGACACCTCAAGAAGGACGGCTGCAACGGCGTCCCCTCGCGCCGCGGCCGCAAGCCCCGCGCGCGGGGTGCGGCGCTCGGGGGACCCGACCCGGCCCCCGGGAACCCCGCGCCCCCCGGCGCCGCCGCCCCGTCTGGCTCCCCCGACGCCCGGCGCAACGGCCCCGAGCAGCACTTTAAGGACGAGGATGAGGACGAGGAGGCGGGCAGCCCCGACGGCCCGGGCGCCGTGCATGCGGCGGGCGCCGGCGGGGCGGGGGGTGGCCCCGGGAGCGCCGCCGACGGCAGCTTCGCGGCCGGACTCGCCTGAAAACCAAAAAGGAACCAGAAACCAGAGAGACAGAGAGAGAGAAAATCACCCGCCACCCCCCGAAACAAAAAAAGAAAATCTATCTATATACAGATATCTATATCTATATATATATATACAGATATATATATATATATATGAGGCGTCACAGAATCTAGGGTAGTGCTTTTCTCAGATTTTTCTCCTCCGTGATGTTCTCTCCCTCCACGGGGACCCACGCCCCCTCCGGCTCCCCGCCCGCCCGCCCCGTCGATGGGTTTCGGGGCTTGGTTTGGGCCTTTTGTGGGACACAAGGATTCTGAGACCCCCTGCCCCCGGGCGCCCCCAGGCACGGGGTTTGGGGTCCCGGCCAGGGCCCCGGGGGGCTGCAGTGGGCTTCTATTTTCCTCCCCTCGCTGGTTTCTATGCGTCTTTGAGACAAGACCTTAAATGATTTCTGTCCGCTGTGAGTGGACGTTAAATCGACCCCCGCCCCACCCCCACCCTCCTTCCTCAGGGCACTTACTAAGTGGGGGTCCCCCCCGTATCTCCTGATGGCCTCCTCCCGACCCCCCAAACCTGCCTGTTCCTGCCTGCGGCCCTCTGTGTCTCCTGGCCTCTGTGACACAAATCTATTTATTTCCAGGCGTGGCGAAAGGGGAGAAGACCGGGGGGTGGGGGTGGGGGGGGACAGGTGGGGCGCCCTGGCGCCCCAGCCCCACCCCCGTCTGTGGTCCCCGACACAGGCCACCCAGACAGCCCCCCCACGTCCCCAACGAGACGTTTGGAGATTGAAAACTTTGTCTTCACCCTCTCTCCTCTCCCCCGAGCCCCCTCCCCATTTTTTAAAGCACTTTTTAGATTTTTTTGCCCTCTTTTCCTCCTTAAAAACAAAATTTATATATAGATATATATATAAATATATATAAAATATACTTTTCCTCAGAGGAGCAGGCAGAGGGTGGGGCGGAAGAGCTGAGAGCAGAGGGGGCCCGAGGTCTCACCGTGGCAGGGAAGAGGGCAGACAGAGTCCACAAGTTCCAATATCACAAAAGCAATAAAACCAAGATTTTACAAAATGAAAGGAAAGAAAAAGACAAAAAAACAAACAAACAAAAAAAATAACCACCAATAGAAGTCTTGGCACTTTGTAACAGAACGGGTACTACACTTTATCTTAATTCTTAATTTAAAAACATGTTTACAAGTTGCAACCAACTTCTATGAAAAGTCGAAAAGACAAAAAAAAGTAACGTGAGCGAGAGCAAGAGAGCTAAAAAGAAAAGTCCTAAAAGTCGATTTATTTTTGTACAAAATAATAAAAAAAAAAACCCACCGCAGACGTAGAATCCACTTCTGTTCCCCGAGGTGAGAGGGGTCAGAAGGCATCGGGCAGGGTCTTCTGAGGTCTTATTCGTGCTTCACCCTAGGGGCTCGCCCCGCAGGCAGGACTGGGGGGTTTGTGTTTCTGCCGTGTCCCTACCCCCACATTCTGTCCTCCTCCCTTTTTTTTGGTTCTGATTCGGAGATGTCTCATCAACCGCTGGCCGTACCATGGCCACCCGTGTCCGTGGGGACCCTCCAGCTCAGGGATGGGCCCGAGAGAGGGCTGGCTGGCCTTCCCCCCAGCCGGAGCAATCCAGACCGTACCCCTGCCCCGTCCTCGCTGTCCCCTGCTCATGCCCCGTGCCCACTCCCGGGCTCCCCGTCCTTCAGCATGAAGCCCTTGTGGCCACCAAGGAGCTGCATCTTGGACATGCCATCCCCATTGAGGTGGGTGATGGGGTGGCCCCACCTCCAGGGCCTTACATCCCCCCAGGCACCCCTCTTTTTACTCAAAGGCACTGACTGTAATTTGGGGGCTGGCACCTGCCTCCCCCCCAGCCTCTGGCTTCCCAAAGGCCCGGTGTTGACCGAGCCACAGGCCACGGACAAGGGGCCAGGGCTGGGGAGACCATGTAGCCAGAGGCCAGGGCTCCCTCCCACCGACCCCCTCTCTCGCATATGCAATGCCTAGCGTGGGACCCTGTAAATAGATGCTCTGTCAAGCTGAGACCCATCTCTTCATCAAAGCCTGAGGTGTGGGGGTGCCCCTGCTCCCCATCCTCCAGCTGCTGGCCTGTCTCCCCAGTATCCCTTTGCTCTGTGATAAACCCCATGTTATTTTTCTTTTTTTAAAGGGAAGCTTTTTAAAAAGGCAACTTTCATCATTGTTTCTACAGAATAGTTTTATTTTCACCCCTCCCACCCAACTCTCCCGAGCCCATCAGCCCCCCAAATGTCTCAGGACCCCCCCTCCTGAGGGGGGTGGTAGGGGAGCCCAGGGCCGGGTGGCCTCGTTCACACCCCAGCATCACTGGGTGAGCTCTGTTGGAGAACCATCTTTGGAGACTGAGCAGAGAGCTCAAGCACCCAGGCCAGGGACCCTCCACCCCACCCCAGCTCCCAGAGAGGTTCCTTGAGGGGAAAGCCCTTCCCCCCTACCCACAAACCCCCTTGCAATAAAACCAACTGAAAAATCACAGCTGTCGTCCTGGCCAGTGGGGGCGACTAGACTTGGGGGATCTGGGACTATGGCGGGGGTAAGGGCTGAACCCTGCCGAGCACATGTAACACAAACTTCCTCGGGAATTGCACTAAACCCCTGCCCCTAGCTCTGCGCTCAGCTTCGGACAGCCCTGCCCACCCACTCCGCCTTAACCCCTCTCCTGCTGCCCATCAGCCCATCCCAGGGGCTGCAGCGTCTGCATGGGCCCAGAGCTGGGACCCCCGCCTGCCCAGTCCAGCCCCTCCCCCAACTCCGCGCAATCACATACTGTATATAGACGTGGATCGATTTTATTTTTATTCTTTAAATTAAGGTCGTGATAAAGTGTTGCCAAAGATACTGCTGAATTCTCGCGTTTCAGGAAACAAACAAACAAACAAAATAATTGAGGGGGAACATGCTGACTTGGTCAGAAACGACACAGCAAAAAAGTTTGTTTGGTTGTTTGGGTTTTTTTTTTGCGTTTTCTTCTTTTGGGGGTGTTTTTTTTTTAACTGCCTGGTACAAAAAAAAAAAAAGGAAAACAAGCGAAATTGTTATTTCCATCATCTTGGTGAAGTTGTGTGGATGTGTGTGTGTGCGTGTGTGCGAGAGTGAGGTCCAGGCCAGGGGCGCTTCAGGTGAGGGCTCCTGGGGGCGCTCCGGGCAGGGGTGGTGGGCTTGGCAGGATGCGGGGGTGCTGGGGTGCTGGAGCCCTCACTGGGAGCAGTTGCTAGCTTGTGGGACCTGGGAGAGAGATTTAATACCCTTGCTACTGCTCCCTGCCTAGCCCCCTGCCCTGACCCTCACCCTGACCCTGCCTTTTGAGATTAAGAGAAAAAAAAAAATTAAAAAAAAAAATAATTTAAAAACCAGTGAATGTAAAGTGCCGGACCAGGCCCAGCCTGGCACGGGTGTGGGTCTGTGCCCAGCTGGGCTCCAGCAGGCCATACCAAAGTCTGCCCCCTCTGGCGGCTCGCCCAGGAGACCCCGTGTGGCCACCTTGTTTTGTCACCCTGTTTGTGTTTGGCTGTCCTTTGCTTCCTTCCGGGGGGTGGGAGGGTCTCAGGTGGAAGGGGAGGGCCCCCCCAGCCCCTTCCAGAGTTCTGGGCACTGGTCACGGCAGGAGCGGCCACGCTGCGCGTGGAGGGATGCAGGCAGGGGCCAGGGTCCCCCCAGGACCAAGGCAGTCCAGGCAACCAGAATGGTAGGGGGCGAGACGGGTGAAAGGAAAAGCAGGAAAAAAAAATTAAAACCCACAAAAAAAAGTAAAAATGCTATTTTTTGAGAAAGAAAGATATTTATATTTGCAGTTTTATTTTAAAAAGTTATTTAAGCTGAGGAAGCAGCCTTCCTGGAGGGGGTGGTGTTGACTGGTGCAGGACGGGTCAGGGCCTGGGGGCTTGGGCACCCCAGGAGCCGTAACCATAAAACTAGCTCGCACTAAATACATAGATTTACATGGGGGGTGGGGGCTGCAGAGACCCCAATCCCGTGGGCAGGGCTGCCTGGAGGCTGCGGCCAGGGGTCCCGATGCCCAGGTTTCCCCCTGCCCCGCCCAAGCCCAGACATGAGGTGCCTTGGACTTTGTGGGGGCCAGGCCTGGAGAATGGGGGAGCAGGGGCATTGCCTGGGGGGGCACAGAGCACAGAGCAGACATTCCATAGACTGTATTTGAGAGTCTTTATAAAGTGTGGGAGATTAAAAAAAAACAAAACGATAAAAATGCACTTTTTGGGGGTGGGGGGGAGCTTTAAAAGTAATTAAAAAAAAGACATATGAAAAGATGATGAAAAACCAGACAAAAAAAACACATTTTTCTTGTACATAAAGAAACCACTAAATGCAGCCTGTTACGACCGCTGCCGCCTCATTTGCCTGATTCTGACTTTCTTTGTGTTTTGTTGTGGGGAGGTTCGGGGTGGGGATGGAGGGTTTGGGGGTCCCCTTCCCCATGGGCTAGGCCCTTCATTCACATTACTGGGGGTCCCCCGCTTGGGTTCCAGCAAGAAGACCCCAGGCTCAGCCTGATCTTTTTCCTGTCTGGCCTGGGAGGCAGAGGCGTGGATGCAATGACCTCGCCTCTGGGCTCCTGGCGTGGGAGTGGGCGTCCCAGCAGTGCCAGGCCCAGAGGCCTAGCAGAGGAGGTGGGCTCGGGCAGGAGGCACCAGGAAGGGGCCCAAAGGATGGCGTGGGTGAGGGCACAGGTGGGCAAGGAAAACCGACTGGATGGGCTCCTTGGTCACCTCCAACTCCAGGGTTTCTGGAGGCCGTGGGTGGGGTGGCCTTGGCCAGGGAACCCCAAGTCTTCCAGCAGCCCCCAAAGTGGAGCCCCCTGACATAAGGGTCTGAGCTGGTGCTCCCCTCACATCCCCTGGGGAAGTTGGCTGGGGCCCCCTCCCCCAGTGGGTGGGTTGTATGTGGGCCGCAGTCCCCACCTCTGGGTTGGGGTCACCACATATGGCCATTTCCAGGGTCCCAGGGAGGGCCCTCTTCCCTCCCATCCTGACCAGCCTCGTCAGACTCAGGCCATCAAGGCCCGGGCTGAGGGCAGGTGGTGAAGAGACACCGAGGAGCACTGATGGCCGCGCCACAGCCTGGGAGGGCACAGCCGGGCTCTGTGGCGTGGGGGCTGCATAGCAGCCATGGGGGAACCAAGCCAAGGGGCTTAGGGGAGGATGCAGGCTGGCGGCTCCTGCTGCACGGTCAGCTACCTGCCCACGGTCACGTGATCACACGGCTGCAGGCTTGGGATTCCGAACCAGGTGTCCGGCTTGGTCTGGGGTTGTGGGGCAGTGGTCCACAGCCAGCCCCCGCGGGGACCTGATCCAGCTGTGAGGAGACTGAAGGCCTTTGATGGGGCCAGCAAAGGCGACAGTTTGGCAGCCGCTCAGCCCACGTGGGCCTCTTCACTCACATTCCCATGTCCCCTCTGCTAAGAGGTGAGAGGCTCTCTTTTAATTGAGATATTACACACAATTCACCCTGTAAAACCACCGGTTTTAGCACATTTGAGAAACTGCAACCATCACCACTACCTAATTCCAGAACATTCCATCACCCGGGAAAGAAACGTCTCCTGCATTAGCAGTCACTCCCCATTCCCCTCCCCCAGCCCTATGAACCCACTTCTGTCTGTGGATCTGCCTGTTTGGGGCATTTCACGGAAATGGGACCACACACTGTGGCTGTGCACGTCTGGTGTCTCTGGGCATCGTGTGTTCAAGGTCCATCTACAATGCAGTGTGTGTCAGAGTCTGCTCCCTTCTGTGTGGACGGTCCACATTGTGTGTATCTATTCACACTGGGTTTGTTCTCACTCTTTGGCTGCTGTGAATCGTGTTCACAGTTTTTATGTGAACCTCTTTTCATTAACCTTGGGGTAGAGATCTGGCAGTAGAGTTGCTGGACCAGACGGAAAAAAAACTTTCCTGTTTTACCCTTTGAGGAACACACAGCTGTTTTCCACCAAGGCTGCCCTATTTTTCACTCCCTCCAACAGTGTGGCGTTCCAGTTCCTCCCTTGTCCTCGCCAACACCTGTTAACTGTCTTTCTGGCTCCCAACGTCCCAGTGGGTGTGAGTTGGTGTCCTGTGTTTGTGATCTGCATTTCCCTGGGGAAATGAGGTCGAGCATCAGTGAACTTTGGGGCCATTTGTGGATCTTCTTGGCCACCCAGGAGAGAAGCGCAATCCTGGGATTCCGCAGCTCTGTCTGAATTTCTTGCCCAGCCCAGCAAAAGGACCCTGGACCCTGCAACCTGATGTGAAATCTTCCCCGTCTGACAAAACGCGGTGCCTTTTGAATTCTGAATGCGTGCGGCGACAGGAACTGTCGTCGGGGTACGAGGTTTTGTCTTCCTGTTTCATCCCAGCTGACAGCCCTGCCCACAGAGAAGCAGACGCTTTGATGGCTTCACCTTGACCTTTTTTATTTGCATTTTTTAAAAACAATTAAATTAGAATACAAATATTAGAAAACAGCGGCCCTCAGCTGCCAGTGCAGACCAAGGGGGTGCCGAACTGCATGACCGAGTTTCTACAGTAAAACTGAATTTGCCCTCGACCAGACTTGTGTCCCTTTCTTCTTCAGACCTGAAATGATGATATTGCTTCCTGACTAGAAGGGTTCTGTCTATACAAAGGAAAATTCTCTGGGGCTGGGGGCAGCGGGGAAGAAAAAAAGCGAAACAGCAGAGGGCAGAGGTGGTCTGGAGAACGAGGCCCAGCCTCGGGGAGGCAAGGACACTGGGTGGGGACCGGGCACCCAGCTGCAGGCCCCCCAAGGCATCTGGGGCAGCTGTGGGCGCCCCCGTGGTTGCTGGACCCCTGAGGCCGGGAGCCACCCGGGTCCCCACAGGTGCTGAAGGGTGGGCCCCGGCCCGTCCTGGTGGGAGACGGAAGACGAGAGTGTGGCTCCCGGGGCCGGGGTGCCCGGCAGGCCTCATACCCGTCGGAAAACCCAAGAGCGAGAAGAGGGGAGGGAACCACCCCAAGTGGAGAAGACGGGGCGGGAGTCCCTGCTGGCCCTCGGGCAGTGGCCGCCCTCCCCACCCTGCTGAGGAGGGGCGGACGGCAGTGGCGACATATGTGGTCATCTGCGCTGTTCCGTAGGGAAGTTAACCTGAATTGGAATTACCGAGGTAGCTGGCTAGAAAACTGAGACCCCCCCCACGCCACACGGTGCCGCGCCCTGGGGCCCCCGCCTTCTGCGGGGGGTCCTGGCCACATGCCGGGTCTTCAAAATACCAAGTTATTGCACTTTCAAAAAATACAACACATCTGTGGCTAAACCCTCCCCAGCCCCCCGCCGTCTGCCCGCCCCCGCCGCCCCCCTCCCAGCCCCAACCCACTCCATGGCTTCTTGGCTAAAACGCTCGCTGCTGGCGGCGCGTCCCAGGGTCCCTGGGCGAGAGGACAGGTTCGCAGAGAAAAAAAAGCAAAGGAACAGACGAATGTCGAAGTCGTGGCTGCCACCCACGCAGGGTCCCTCGCACCAGCGGGAATGGTCTTCGGCGCCCCGGGGAGGGGCTTCCTGGGCCCCGCCCGCCCCTCGCAGGGTCTGCGCAGTCTTCCGGCCCCGACCCTGGCGGGGGAAGCAGCTGTGGGGGTGGCTGGCATTGCTTCAGAGAGTTTGGTATTTTTGTTGGTTTCGCTTTTCTTTTCTTTTTCTTTTTATTTTTTAAACCTCCGACGGGAGAGTCCAGAGATACAGGTGCCAGGAGCCAAGGAAAAGGTGGAAAAACGAAATGAACAATAAAAAGAAAAAAAAAATCACTCCTCCCTCTGTACCCCGAGGCCCGCCTGCGCCCCTCCACGTGGTGAGCACCAGGAAAATCGAGCGTCCAGTGGCGGCGGCAAGCGGTCAGCAGGCCGACACCAGGCCCTTCGGGAAGGGGCAGCGGCGTTTGGGCCGGGGGCCCTCCTCGTCCTCGTCCTCCTCGTCCTCGTCTTCGTCCTCCTCCCCCTCCGAGGACGACGAGCTGTCCAGCGTGAGGTCCACCACGTCGGCTCCTGGCTTCCCATTCTCAATGCCGCCCCCAGCGCTGCCCCCGCCACCGGCACCCCCAAGCACGCCGACGCCACCGCCGTTGACATTAGGGGTGGACAGGAGCCCATTGGTGTCCGAGGTCCCTACAGTGGACAGGGACAGAGCTCAGGATGGCTGCTAACCCACAGAGTGGGGAAACCGAGGCAGGTGAGAGGCAGAGAGCCCTAGGACACCTCAGCTGCCGCATCATGCAGCAGGTCCCCAAGGACAGGGATTCCACTGGGTCCCCAGCGCCCTGCACAGTGCCTGCAACACAGCAAGCCCCCAATAACCGCAAGCCCCACGCCCAGGCCTGCCCAGTCTCGGTATCAGCCTCACTGGGACGGTGTGTTCTAGGTAAAAATGCTGCAGGGCAGAACATGATGCTCAGCAATCCCACCACCCTGGGAACGGGGACGAGCAGACAGTTGGGCACCAGGGCCTGAGGGACTCACCAAGCACCAGGATCGGGCGCTGGGGGCTGCAGCTTTGCTCCTTCTCGGCGCGGATTGGGCACCACGAGCCGTCCACCAGGTACTCGATCTCGTCGGCGTCCTCGCACTCGCTCAGGATCTTGGAGAGGAGCCTGGGGGGCCGGTGTGGGGGTCAGCGGGGCTGTACCCTGCTCTCCTGCACTCGGCAGGACCCTCACTAAACCACTGCCTGCTTTGCAAAAATGGCTTCAGGACAGCACCTGCCGAGGCCCAGTGACCCAAGGTCCCAAGGGCCTGACAGGGGCCTGCACCTGACAGGCCCAGAGAAGCGCTGCCAAAGTGCTCTGAGGGCTCTCGTGGCAAGGTGATGGGCCTCCTGCCAACTGCTCAAAGGCATGGGGTCTGGGGGTCCTACCCACTTGGCCCCATCCCATTCTGTGCTGCCCCTGTCTTTACAGAAGAGGAAACTGAGGCTCAGAGAGAAGGTAGGAGCTGCTCAAAGCCCCCGAGAGACTCTGGAACAAAGTGGGGAGAGAAGAGGCACTGCCTCAGCCTAGTACAGACAACAGCATCCCCAAGAGCAGGGGGCCAAGCCCACCACGATGTGCTCTAGCCCTGGGTGCTGCTCCGCTGGGGTCCTGCCAGCCAGGCCCACTTTACAGATGAAGAACTGAGGCCCAGGAAAGGGGAGTGAGCTCCCTGAAGCCAGAAGGCAAAGGGCAGCAGGCCTGGGTTCTGGTCTTGTCCTGTCATTTCCTGGCTATGAGGCCTCGGTCTCCCCACATGCAGGATGGGGCATGCTGGCGCCCACCATCTCCAGAGCCAGGGGAACCCCAAGTAACAGCCGAGTGCTCAGGCCAGGCCAGCCTGGTGCAGGGATCACCCTCACTGTGGTGGCCCTGGGCCCACCCCAGCCCCCAGCACGTGTGTGTCAAAACTCTGCGCTTCTCCAGGTGACTCCGACTACCTCAGCCCATTCACCCAAGAGGGAGGCCCTGCCCCACTCCAGAACATCCTCTGGGCCCCCTCACCCCACACTGTAGCTCCCCACTCCACCATCACTCACAGACCCACCACTCAAGGGTCACCCTGCTCTGCCTGCAATGTACAGCCCCACCTGGAAAACTCCTAATCACCCTCTGAAGCCCCACTGTACAGCTCCTCTTCTTTTTCCAGAGCCCACGCAATAGAACTGTCTGTCTGGTTCAGTTCTCTCCACCTGCTCATGCCCAACTGTGAGCTCCCTGAAGGCAGGGTCTGGGACAGAGTCCATTTAGGGACCCCTGGATCACACAGGTCAGGGCCGAGGACAGAGCCTCAAGGAATAAATGCATGAATCAAGGACCCTTCCTTCAGGGAGCTTCTCTGGTTACACTGCTAGGACTGTGACATGAGTGTGGCACAGCCACACGCTCCAGCCCCAGCCCCATCTTCCCTGGAGCTGTCCAAGCTGCCACCACCCCAGCCTGAGTGACCCGCGCTAGGCCTGTGGAGGAGGGAGGCTGCACTGGGCTGCACAGCTGCCAGGCCAGGAACAGAGCCGCCATTCAGGCCCAGCCCTCGTGCCCGGCCCCAGGGGCCTCCTCACTCCACCCCAAGGCTGAACAGTGTAGGAGGGGCAGCAGCTCAGCCCCTCCAGGGAGGAGACCCGGGCTCCGGGCTGGCCATACCTCAGTTGACTCCTGGCCCAGCCACTGCGAGCTATGGGTGGAGGTGGGGCTCAGGGCAGGTGACTGCTGGCTCTAAGCTTCCGTTTCCTCCTCATCTTAGGGTGGGGGTGATCAAGGCCACCTCCCGGGCAGATGAGAGGGAGGGCTTGGCAAACCCTGAGCTCGGTGACCAGAGACAAGTGTTTCAACAAGGGCACAAACTGCCGCCCAGCCCCTGTAGGTTGGGGGCCATCCCTATCCCCACAGAGCGCACACACCTCACCTGCATAGGCGACGGGTCCAGAGTGCAGCTGCCAGACTCAGCCTGGCCGCCTGGGCACTGGCTCCGGCCAGGGCCACCGCCTCTCCCTCCCACCCTCCCAGCTCCAAGGACAGGAGGTGGGTGTGGCCAGCGCCTGGCAGGAGCCAGTCAGTCAGGTGCTGGGCTCGGTTTCTGGAAACCTAAGACCTGAGCAAAGTTTCCCTTTTGGGGAGAACGGCATTTTCCCCCTTGCCCCCCCACATCACACAGAGGGCCCGCTGGTTAGGCCAGCATGCGTGGAGGGGGTGACAGCCTGGCTGTACTCTGGCCCCGTCTGGGATACAGACAAGCAGGATGAGACAGAACTGAGTGCGCCCTGGTCACCTTTGTGTGTAAAGGGCCTGGCTCAGGCTGTGCTCAACGTCACTCGGGAAAGCAGCTCCCTGAATCATGTAGGGGCCTGAGGCTGGGGGCTCTTGGGTTCCCATTTTATGTGGGGAATAACAGACTCAGAACGCAAAGTCACACAGGGAGCAATAGTAGACCTCCTGGGTCAGAGTCCCCTTTCTGAACCCTAAATCACACTGCCACTGCCCACGCAGTGAAGGCCCTGATATGTCCTGCAGGGATGACATTTGCCTCTCTCTCTGACCTGCAGCTTCCAAGCTGCAAAAGGGGCCTGCTGGGCAGCTCAGAGGACCTAGGAAGTCCAGAGGCAGAGAGCTCAGAGGTTGCAAGGCTCTGCGCTTTCCAGAGGCCCAGAGAGGTGAAGGGCCAAGCCCAGCAGCCTGTACGGCCCGGCAACTCACCCATCGATGATGAGCTGGTCGTAGGGGGCCGGCTTGTCGCAAACGGGGCACATCCAGGTGGGCTTCTTCTCATTCATCTGGAGGTAGAAGACGGCGTCGAAGCACTGCAGGTGGGCGCAGGTCTCCGCCCGGCAGGGCACCGAGAGCCGCATCTTCACGAGCTGGGGGGAGCGGCCAGGGGCGTGAGCAGGCTGCGGCCCAGCACGGCTGGCCAGGGCTGCCCCACACAAAGGGCAGGGCAGGAAGGTGACTCACCGGGCAGATGAGGGAGACCCGCACGCCGGTGGTGGCAATCTCGCTGTCGGGGTCCAGACGCAGCTTCTCCTTGACTGCAGAGGAGGGGGTGGCCGAGTCAGCGGCAGGGACCAAGGTGCCCTTGGGACAGGTGCCGAGAGGCGGGTGTCCTCTGGCACCAGCGATATGTGCCCTCAACCCCATTTCAGGGGGATGTCCACACATGGAGCACCCCCACTATCTGTCAACCTTCCAGGACTACCAGATACAAGTTTAGGCTCCCAGGCCCAGGGCTCTGAAGAGGATCTATAACAAAGCCCTGGGCAGTGGACAGTTACTTTTGACAACAACCTGGGCGTACCCCCTCAATAAGCCTGCCCTGCTGGGGCTTTTTATGACCCACAGGACTTTTCTGGAAAGATGCAGGCAACAAGAAGCCACCGAACAGCACCATCCACCTGCCTTAATTCCCAGGAAAAGCATCCCCAAGGACTGGGCAGAAGTGATGCAGGCAAACTGCATCTCTAGATGGATCAGGACGGCCCTGGCCCAGCATGGAGCCAGGAACATCCTTTCACCCCGCCAAGTAACTCCTGCATTTCATCTGTGGGAAACCACCTCCCCCCTCCACGTGGGCTTGAGTTGTCCCCACCCCCGCCCCCACACTAACTGTTCCCAGTAGCAGGTCGGTCATCATACCACAGTAATGCACAGCCACCCCAGGGCCCACCTCTCTAGCTAATAAGTGCTCATGGTGGACCTGGAGGCCTTGGCCCTTCAGAAAGACAGCCCAGAACGGATGCAGTGTGCACCTGGTTTTGAAGCCAGGCCTCCCCTACTTAATAGAGAGAAGTTTGTGTGCAGCAGAAGGGTCAAGTGAGGCAGGACTTCTCAGCTGCGATGGAGAGAGACCCCGGGGCCCAGACGCCCAGGGGCAGGCCCTAGAAAGGAAGCGGGGGCTTCAGAGAGAAAACCTGACCGCCTGGCCTGCATAGCAAGGGCTGCATATGCGCAACAGCCTCCTGAGCTGCAGGGCTCAGGCCCTGGCTCCTGGCTGCTCTTGAGGAGGAGTTAAGATGGGCCTCCAGGTGACCCCTCAGCACCTGGTGGGCCACTGGTACCCAGATGAGCCCTGCTGGGCCCTCACATCAATCCCTGACTCTGGCCCACCTTGGTCAAGTTGGCCATTGTCCCTGCAGGGAGACAGGCAGGTGTGGGGGAAGGGGGTTTGAAGAAAGGGTCCTTGGAGGGAAAGGGGAGGGGATAGGGTAGGTGAGGCCCTCAGATCACAGAGACCTCACAGCTGCTCTGTGCCTCGGGGTCCCCCAGGGTCCCCCCCCCGCAGGTCACACAGGGACATAGCCAGACCCCACCCAGAGCCGCTGTGAGGACAGGTCAGAAGTTACACGGGGAGAGCCTCACGGCAACGGGAGAGGGCCAGCAATTTGCCTGAGGCCGCACACCCTCAGGCTTTCAGGCAAGAAACCTTTGGTTTCTGTTAAGAAATCCAAGTACCTGCCGTGAGCCAGGCAGCCCCTGGGTGCAGGGACACAGGCAGAGGGGCAGGACTAGCTCTGTCTGCAGTCCTGGTGGTAGCACTTTAATTTTTAATGCTCTGTAAGTATCCCCCTGCTCAGCACTTTTTTTTGATTGTTCAAAGTCCAAAAAGGAAAAATAAAACAGTCCCACCATTTTGGGTCAGACCTTCACATCACCGGTGCACCTCTGACCGTGGATCCAAGCTCTGCTCACACTCTGGCCCCAGGCCTGGCCCCCTCCCACCTGCTCTGCCGAGTGGCCACAGGTATCTGCCTACAACACCTGCCTCACAGGCTCTTCTGCACCTCAGCACCCCTGCTGCCTCCTAGGGACTTTCACTACAAGCCCACATGCCCAGCCCACCCAGACACCAGCAGACCGAGCCCCGGCTCTCTGCAGCCCACGGGCACACCTTGCTCGTCCCTGCCTCAAGGCCTTTGCATGGACAGTTCTGCTGCCTGGCTCTCCCTCCTCCTTCTGCATCCACCAGAGACCCTCAATGAGCCCCAGAGATGGCAGTGGATGGACTCTGAGAGGGCCAGGCCTACCCCTCATGCCCAGTACAGGGCCGGCAGTGACAAAGCCATGGCACCATGGCCACCTGCAGGAACCACGGGGAAGGCCCACCTGCAGGCAGCAGAGGAGGCCCACAGAGCTCACCCAGCGCCTTGCACAGCTCCGGATGCTTGACGCCGATGGTTTTCAACCTCTGCAGCAGCTCCGAGGAAGTCAGCTGCCGCACCAAGTACAAGGCCACAGAGTAACTCTGGGGGCAGAGGGAGGGCGGGCCATCAGGGCTGGATGGGCCCTGCCAGGAGGGCAGACAGGGCAGGAGGGGCCAGCAGGCAGGCGACACCCGCCTGGCTCACCTTGCCATAGTTCCCCCAGGTGACGGTGATACGGTTGGTGGCCGAGGAGAGGTACATGAGGTGGGTGAGGTTGATGGGGCGGCAGGGCCTCTTGGGCTCCACTCCGGGCTTATTTGAGGGGTAGTAGCCCTGGAAGCAGACAAGCTAGTTCAGTCCCAAAGGGTGCTGTCCCCACCTGCCCCGTGGCAGACCTGGGGCTGCCTCGGGGCCTCCACTCACCGGCACCGAGCAGTAGCTGTGGTTGACCTTCACGGCAATGTTGGGAGGGTACTGGTCCTCCTGAGGGCCGCTGGTGTCCGAGTAACAGATTCTGCAACGACATGAGGACCGTGAGGCCGCGGGGACCAAGGGCAGTGGGGGACCCTGGGGGGGAGGGCAGGACAGACGCAGGGCCAGGGCTGAGGGAGGAGGGCCCTGCCCAGCACGACAGCAAGATGGCGATGCTGGGCTGCAAGTGGAGATCTCAGCCCGTACCTGGCCTGAGTGGGCCTGGACAGACAAGGACAAGGACAGACAGCAGGAAGACATGAGGAACAGGGCTCCACCGATGGGCAGGGAGCCTGAGAAGGCCGTGTCAGGAGGGCGAGGGGCTGGACTGGGCCATGGCAGGACGGGGCGGGGGGAGGGAGAAGTCCCAGGCCCAGGCTGCCCGAGGCTTACCTTAGGACGACCTGCACGGCCTTGATCCCCGGCTGCAGTTCCCTGTGTGCCAAGGGAGTTAGGGGTGAGGAGAGGAGGGGCCCATGGGCTGGGAGAGCAGCCAGCACGCCACACTGACCCCTTCACCCTCTTGGGGGCCAGCCAGGTGGGCCCACCTGCTACTCCCTTGCAACTAAAGGCCTGCAAGTGCTGCCTAGAACATTCTCACCTACTGTTAACTCACTGGTGACTTGTGCAAATAACCTCCCTCTTCTGGAAAATGGGGGTCTAGTGTGGATGTTAAGTGGGTTGGTGGCTTCAGCCTGGCATGTGCCAAGTACCTAAGAAATGGCTGCCCCCACAGTGGCGTCCATCTAAGCTGGACACAGAAGGGCCTCAGAGAGCACAGTCAGAGAGCTGGGAACCACCTCCATCTGCATGTGTCATAGCCCAGCAAATCCCCCAAGACCATCTTGCCCCCAGGGGTCACCAGGCCACGTCGGGGGACACCTGTGGTCATCACGCTGGGGTTCTCCCAGCATGGAGGGGATGGGGCCCAGAGATGCTGGTCAGGGCCCCGCAGCGCCCAAAAAGGCCCTACTGTCAGCAACAGCGAAGGGGAGGGGCCTGTTAGAGGGGGCTGCAGGTCAAAGGTGGCAGGAGCCTGCTGGCCCTGCACACTGTCTGGTGTAGGGGACAGGCACTGAGCACTGGGTAGGGATGGGCTTCCCTTCCCTACCAAGCACAGGGTTTGCGTTGGGTCTGGTTGAAGGCTCTCCCAGGCCCGCGGGTAGGACCGCCTGCCACCCCGCCGGCCACCTCACAGGTCAGTGAGGGCGGGGACACAGCGCACCTGGAGTTCCGGATCAGCTCCACCTGCCTCGGTGTCAAGGCGAAGATGCATGGGCTCTCTTGAAGCTTCTCGTTATTCTGTGGAACTGAAGATAAAGCCGGGGTCATGTCTGCTCCCTGGTGAAGGCACCAACCACGGGCATTTCTACAGGCCTGCCCTTCTTCAGACAGGGAAGCAGGCACAGGTGGGATGGAGGCAGGGCCACCACGGCCCAAGGTTCAAGAAACATCCAGCCCCCATGTCCCCCTGTGAGGGAAACTGGAGGACCAATGGCCTTCCCAGCCCTGGAGTCCAGGTGTCTGTCAGGAAGACGGAGGGCAGCTCGCCAGGGGAGAGGGGCTGTGCTGGGCCGGAAGGATGAAGGCAGACCGACTGTGTACCATCAGGGCAGCCACCTCACGGGGGCCAGCCTGCTCTCGCCAGATCTGTAAGACGCCAGCGACAACTTGGTCCCCACCCTACACGGCTGCCCCAGGCACCTGGTGAGTGCGTGCCTGTCCACGCAGTGCTCGGTGTGGGGTCTGTATGGCACTATTGGAAGGGACAGGGACAAGCTGAACAGAGGGCCTGCCTTGGGCACTCATGGCCAGCTGAGGAAATAAGGAGGGAGTACGGCAGGGAACCTCCACGTGCACAGGAGTCTCAGAGCAGCCGGCACACAGCAGGGACACCGCACACGAGCCCTGCTTGCCGCCCACCACGAAGCGCCCGCTGCGTGCAGGACTTGGGGGAGAGTCTACCAGGGGTTGGCTTTTCACTCTTAACAATAACTGCACTGAGAACGGCGATCAGAAAGTGCTCTAGACTGAATGAGAGCTTACGATACGATATTTGTGGAAGGCAGCTAAAGCAGTTGTGAGAGGGAAAGTCACAGCTTTCAACACATCTATAAAGAAGAAAGAGTCTAAAATTAAGGAATTGCACTTGCCCATGAAAAGCAAGAAAAAGAAGAGCAAGTTAAGGCCAAAGTCTTTAGAAGGAAGGAAATTAAAGATAAAAATGGAAGCCAGTGAAACAGAAAGCTGCCAACAGAGGAAATCAACAAAGTTCTTTGATAAACACCTAGCTAGCCTGAATAAAAAAACTGTAAGAACACAAATTATCAGAAATGAAAGGTAGATAATAGAACAGATCCTTCAGCCTTTTGGTTTAAAAGGGGAATGTGACAGATCACTTTCTGCTAATAAATCCGGTAACTTCAATGAAATGGACAAATTCTTCCACAAATGCAAATTACTAAAACTGCCATGAAAAGATGTCAGAAGTTTGAAAAGGCGCTTTATCAGTTAAAGAAACTGAAGTCATAAAAAAAAACCTTTCCACAAAGAAAACTGCAGGTCCTGACTGGTGACTTCTATCAAACATTTAAGGAAGAAGCTATATAAACTGCATGAAGTCTTTCAGAAAACAGAGTAGGAAGGAACCCTTCTCCCCTCATTTTCCAAGGCTGGCATAATCCTGATACCAACACTTGACAAGGATGCATCGAGGAAGGAAAATGACACAAAAATATCCCTCATGAACACAGATGTAGAAGTACTTAATGAAATACAAGCAAATAACTGGGTCCCCTGGAATTTGGCCCAGGAATACAAAGTTGATTTAAAATCTCCGCATCCACTGGAGTGGCTAAAATGAAAGAAAGACAATTCCAAGTGCTGACAGACAAGTACAGCAACTGGAACTCTGCTGCAGGGTATATAATGGTCCAGCCCCTTTGGAAACTGTTAAGTTCTTTAATAAAGTTACACATACACCTACCCTGTGACCCAGCAATCCCACTCACAGCAAAGTTTGTCCTTATAGCCCTAAACTGGAAACCCAAGAGCCTGCCAATGGAAGAATGGATAAACAAGCTGTGGTATATTCACAGAATAAATAAACCTTGTGATTCATACCAATGACACAAACAAATCTAAAACCACTCTGCAGAGCCCAAGAGGGAGACACAAAGAGGCCCATGCTGCACGTGTGCTGTGTCACCTCCTGGAATAAGCAAAGCTAACCTACAGGAGGGACGTCAGAGCAGCAGGCGCCTCGGGGAGGTGGGAGGCGGTGAGGACTCCTGGGAAGGGGCACTCAGGGACTTTATGGAAGGGAAATGCTCTGTATTTGATGGTGTTTGGGTCCCTGGGGTGTATTTGTTAAAACTCAAATGATGCACCAAGTATCTAGGTTTTACCTGTATGCAAATTGTACCTCAATTTAAAAAAATTAAATTACACCGACTGGAAGATTGGAAGAGAAGGAAAAGCTTGATACAAACTGATGAAGCTGTGGCTGGGAGGCCGGGTAACCCAGCACAACCCAAACGACCCCAGGAAGCAACAGCCCCTGTGCTTCAGGAGCCACAGCTGCAGACACTCCCAGACACAGGATGACAGAGGCCCGCTGTCACCCATTACTCACAGTGGTTTCTATCAGCAAAAGACTGTTAATGACCTGAATACCTGCCGATGTGGGCTGGTTCTGATATGCTTGGGGACATGGCGTGGAGGAATACTATGCAGCTGTGAAAACAGACACTGAAGACTCAAGACGCTCTTTGCGCTCCCATAGGGGGCGACCTCCAAGATGCTGCTGTTAAGTGAGACAGGAGGAGCAGGGCAGAGTGTGTGTTGTGCTGCTACTTGTGTGACCACATAGAGGCAGGGGTCCTGCAGAGACTGGCCACAGTCACAGCCTGTGTGTGGTTGGCAGTGGCAAAGAATTTGATTTTTGTTGCCCACCCTTCAGAATAGGGGGGCAGACTATTCCTACACAGGGCCAGGCTATAAGTATTTTCAGCTTTTTCGAGCCCATGGTCTCTGCCTCAACATCCTCACTCAGCTCTGCACCACAAAGGCCACCAAGAGAAGGCTAGCACGCCAGGAGTGGCTGTGCACTAGCGCAACCTGGGCAGGGAGAACATGCAGCCTGGGGTCAGTCCCTGGCTCTACTCCTCCAACCCCTGCTCTAGAACTGTCTGGATTCCAAACTTTGGCAACAAGTAACCTATGTAAAAAGCCAACACAATTTGAATTTAAACCCAGCTTGGGTTCAGAAGCCACTGCACGGGTTCACACCCCAGCTCTGCCTGGGGCTGCATGCCCGCACCCCCACCCCAGGCCGGATGCCCTCCTTGCACCACAGCCCATCTCGCAGGGTAGCTGGCACTCTATGCCAGGTGGCTGTGTAACTGCCATGCTGCTGCCACCAATTCATGCTTGTTTGTTGAGGGCCCAGCTGGACCCTGCCAAGTCCTGGCTGGGGCCCTTGAGGAAGGCTGCCTAACTGGGGGGCAGGGTACACACAGGCCACCTGCAGACACGCCCAGACCTGCCCAAAGAGCTTGGGGGCAATTACTCATTGAGGGGGGGAGAGGGGCCTCACGATATCTGAGCTGGGCTGCAAAAGGTGGGTGGGAGGTCAAAAATACCAGCCCCCAGCCCACAGACACTGTGCCCTGGAGGCAGGGGAGGGCCCAGCGGACTGTCACAGCCACCCGCTGGCCAGGAAGCTCCAAGAGAAGGGTGGTTGAGCCCTGGCACCCAGGAACTAGGATACGGGTCCTTCCCTAGAAGGGCTCCTATTTCTAGGTGAGGCTGCTGTTGGGGACAGGGGACATGCTCTGCATTCCAGGTTTCTGTTTCGCCACGGCGGGAGTGGCTGACTGCCCCCTAAGAAAGCCAAATGGCTGGCAGGAGGCGACGGCCACCTGAGCGGGGACCTGGCACGGCCTACACCGTCTGGAGGGGGCTGGGGGCCCCTCAAACCCAGGCCTTGGCCATCAGCCACCAGTGGCCTTCGGCTGCACCAGGCTGTGACGCAGGTAGTGTCGGTGACGCTCGGCCCCTGCCTCCTGGCCATTCTGCTGGCCCCTCTTTCGGAACGCACCTGACCCCTTCCCCACCTTGGCTGGGTGCCCCTCTGATCAGGGACAGAGACCCTCTGCTGATCTCCTTGCCCCCCACCTGCCGAGAACACGCCACCACAGGGCTTTTCCTCTCACCACTCCCTCTTCCAGAACATGTTTCCCCCAACCATCTACACGGCTCTGGTGTCTAATAAGGCTGCATGGGTGCCACCGGAGTGCAAACCTTCCCTGAGCACCTTTATTTAAAAAACCCAACCCCCCTCACCCTCCAAGATTCTGACATGCCCCACCTACTTGCCTATTTGATTTCTCCTCAAAACCTCTCTCTCCTAAGTGAGAATCAGCCATTTTCCCAATGGAAAAGTCTGGTTCCTTGTGCACACATCACCAAAAGGTCCTTCTGTTGTCACCCAGGCTGCTGCGAGGCCGGGTGGCCATGGGGGCCCTGCTGGCAGTAGCAGGGGCTGAAATCAGCCCCCCCGCACACCCATGGGGCTCAGTACCCTCCAGGGACTAAAGGAAGGAAACCCCTACTCTGGGGTCCTCTAGGGAGCTGAAATTCTGGGAGCAGCAAGTGGACCCAGCAGAGGGGGAACCAGTCCCTGGGCTCAATCCCAGACACCAACAGAGAGGGGCCAGCACAGCTGTGTCTATAGCGCCGGCTGCCAGGCAGCCTTGCACACCACCACCAGCAAAGAACGTGTACTGACCTGAGCGTGCGCGCACAGTGTGGGGCAGGGGAGACGAAAGTCTGGACACAGCCCTGCTTTCATAGGATCACACACACAGAGGAACAAGGTGGAAGGAATGAGCCCACACCTCCGACTAGGGCCTGCTCTCTGTGGCAGTTATGGCTGGGCTTCTTTGCAATTAACCCCTGGCTTCTGGGGAAGAGTGTATCAGACAGAGGGAACAGCTGTGCAAAGGCCCTGGGGCAGGACTGGGCCTGGCTGCTGGAAAAAGAGTGAGGAGGTCCATGCCGCTGGAGCACTGAGGCTGGAGCAAAGCCAGCGAGAGGGAGAGAGAGGAGGGGAGGGAAGGGAGGGAACAGGGTGGGGAAAGGGCAGAAAATTCAGTAGGTCAGGGGAGCATTTTAAGCAGAGACATGACCAGCCTGCTATTCTAAAAGCCTCCTGGGTGGAGAGGAACCAGCAGCATGTGGGGAAGAGACCAAGCAGGTGGGCAGGCAGGTGGACGGGCAGTGGGGATCCTGGAGATGGGAGGTGAGCTGGCAGGACTAGGGGCAGCTGGAAGCCTTGTCCGGGACATTCCTGCCCCCCACCGGGGGCCCCTCACAGGTCATGGCGGGTGCTCCCCAGGGCCAGGGCCTGTGCAGAGCTGGCAGAGCCCCTCCAACCCCCACAGGTGGGGCAGGCGGGGTCCAGCCAGCCCAGCAGGCCAGGCCACCTGACCCTGGAGCTGGGAGACTGGACATGGGATACCACATGAGCGCCCAGGCTCCTAGGGTACAGGAAGAACCCGGGATGTCAGGGGAGGGCCATGGGGCTGGGTGTGCACCACGCCAGCAGGCCAGCCACCGTGCCTCACTGCACCGCAGGGATAACACCCACCTTAGACATGACATGCAGATGAGACCTGAAGAGGTCACTGGGCCCTCAGCAACCCTGAAGCCCCCAGGACAGTCCATCAGCCCCTATCTTCCCCTAGGCACACCCAGCCTGGGTTCTCTGGCCTCTGCCACCCACATCAAGTCTGCTCTTCCTCCCTCCACCCCACACCACACTCCGTCACAAGCCTCCACTCACAAGCTGTCACCACAAGGCCTCGGCCTGGAACATAATCCCTGGCTTCCTCCTCTTTGGCAGGCTTACAGCTACTCACCTCTCAGATCTGGCCAGGAATGCAGCCTCCTCTAGGAAGCCTTCCTGACTGCCACAAACCACTGCTGTGCAATAAGGGTTCCTGGTACTGACAGCTCGCTGGGAATCCTACACTAGCGCATTCCTCACCTTGCACCGTTCAGTCACCTCTAGCGTAACTTCCTGGCAAATGTGCCAGGCCAGGGACCCCACAATCTTGCCTCTGCTTGGGCAATAGAAGCCTACGGGCTTGGAAACTGGGTGAGGGACATCCGTGTGCCTGGCATGACAGGGCAGACACTGAACCAACGACCATGTCTGGGGTGCCTGGAGAACTGGGGGCACTAGGGACTGTCACAGCATGGGCCCCCACTCTCACGGCTGCGGAGGCACAGTGGGAGGCGCCCCGCCGCATGGTGCCAGCTGCAGGGTGCCGGGGAGCCTCCTCCCGCCCCCAGGCCCATGGCGGCCTCTCCCTGCTGACACGGGGTCGGAGCCTTCCCAGCTGGACTCTGGCTGTGGACTCCCGAGTGGGCAGGCTGGGGAAACTCTCTGGTGGCAAGACGCCCAGTGAGCCCCAAGCCGTAGTGGCATACCCAGGACCCCGTTCCTGGCCCTCTGAATTCTGCCATGGTTGGGAGGCAAGTCACTTTGCCCCATCTTGGAGGGGAGGCCAGTCGGGATCCTCATGCTGAGAGGAGGCCGGGTCCTGAATCTGGGTGTGTTCTGGACAGGCACCTCCTCACAGGGTGGCAGGGCACTGGTGGGAGTGGGAGGAGGTCAGAGCCGGGGCCCCTTCCTCCTAGTGCTGTGTGACCTTGGGCCAGTACCCTGACCCTTCTGGGCACCAGTCCTCACACCCCACTGGAGCGGCTCATCTGTCTCCTATAGCCTTTCCAGCTCTCAGGGCTCTATTATCCCCTCCCCTCCCCAACCCAAACATTCCACTCAGTGTGATTTATGTCTCCTGTCCACCAGGCACAGGCTGCATCCCATAGCCGGCCGGCGGCTCTTCCGGGGAAACAGACCCGGGTGTGCAGGCCTCCTTCTGGTCGGCGGGTCATGGGCAGGGTGGAGGGGAAGGGGCAGCTGGCTGAGCCGGAGCCTCCTGAAAGTGCTCTCGGGCAATACCAGCACTGCAGAATTCGCTGTGCGGAGGTGCCAGGTGAGGAGTGGGCAGACAGCACTGCTGGTCCCCAAGAGGGTACCAGCCCCTCCAGCGCCAGGGTCTAAGCTTGATGAGGCTCTTCCCTGGGAAGCCAGGCAGCCCCTGGGGGTCCCCGAGAGGGTGGGACTCAGGGAAGGGGTACACCCTGGGATGGGGGTGGGGGAGAGGGTGGGGTCAGCCTCTTTGTTCTGAGCCGCCAGCAGAGTAATTCCTAGTGTAGACAGGGGAGCAGACTCTCCCGGAGATCAGGTGACTGGGGTCCCCGGGGGCTCAGGGCAGAGCGATGCATTGTGGGGTAGGAGTGACTGCACGCTCTCTGTGCAGGAAGGAAGCCCATGGTCCAGAGGGGAGGGGAGGCCGCTGGCCCTGAGTTCAAAGTCACCTCCAGGTCTGTCCCCCCGCCCAGCACTAAGCCTGCCGTGCTGCTTCCTGGTGAAGACCTGGCCACAAAGATCATTCTCGAGTCCTTAGGAGACTGAAGTGTCAGCCCGACCTTCAGAAGCAGCCAGCCAGTCCTGAGGCCCCCAAGGCCTCCCGGGGAACCCCTTGCAGGAAATGGCTCCTGGCCTAGAGAGAGGTCTGGGGAGCGGACACCGGGGAAACCGTCCTGGAGCGATGCAGGAAAGGGCCCAGGATCCTCAGCACCATCGCGTCCACCCCAGGACGGGTGCTGCTGGGCCAGCCCGCTCCCCGCCTGAAGGCTGGCAGCAACTTCCTCGCTGTGCCAGAGAAAAGGCGGTAGAGGGCAGAGCCCTCAGACTCCAGCCCCGGGGCCAGCAGCCACCCGTCCCCAGCCTCCTGCCGCCTCACCTGGGACCACAGCCCCTCCAGCCCAACCTCGCAGAGCCCCAGGGCAGCAGTCCGGAGGGGAGAGGCAGCTGAGCCCCCTCCTCTTTCCCCCCACCCAGGGCAGGACAGAGGGGGGGCCCCCTGGCCCAGCAGGGCAGGGTACTGGTCAGCGGGGCGGGAGGGAGGGGGGCCACGCAGCCAGTGGCAGGGCAGGTGGGGTGCGGAGAGGCGGTGACCTCTGCCACAGCTCGCAGGAACCGACTCGTGACTGGGGCCTGCGCCGGGCACGCAGGAGGGATACAATAAAGATGTGGGACACTGAACAGGAGATGCAGATGGAGCACAGCACGACCCACGGAGCCAGCACAGACCACGGGCACCCCAGAGCCCTGCGGGCTGTCACAGGCAATCTCCTCAAGATCAGGGGGCTCAGTTTGCTCCCTGCCACCCCAAGGTGGCACCTAATCAGCCAGCACTCTTTGTGCAATGTGAGTGAGGGCAGGAATGAGTGGATGGGAGGAGGGTGGTGTAAGAATAGAGAGAGGAGGCACCAGGAGGGGTCTCCCGGAACACCTGGGAACCCAGTTACACCTGAGGATCTGCAGGAGGTCCATCGTATCCCACTCACCATTGGGAGCCACCTGAGCCAGGAGGGGCCAGGGGCCAGTCCAGTGCTACACAGGCCTGGAATGTGGCAGATGTTTAACCAACACAGAAATAAGTACAGAAAGGAACCACAGAGCCTGGGCATTGTCTCCTCTGGCCCTGATGGCGCCCCACCTCTTGGGAGCAGGCCTAGCCATGCCCCGGTTACCTGAACCCGCCGACCAAGGTTGCTCCCACAGGCCTCCTGCTAGGAAACAAGCCTTCTGTGGGTTGGGGGGTGAGGAGGGAAGGTCAGGTCCAATTTCCAGCCCCTCTGCCACAAGGAGTAAGAGCATGGAAGCCAGCTTCTGGGGTGGCCCCCAGGGACCCCCATCTCCTCCCGGTCCAGCCTGGGGTAGTCCCTGCCCACATGGACCACAGTTGGTCTGTGTGGCCGGCAGAATGCAGCAGACACAAAGGTATCCCACTGCCCAGTTCGGGTTACCTGATGGACCTCAGCTTCCAGCTGGGATGCACCCATGTTCACCCTCTCGACCCCAGCCTCCACCCTCCCATCACCAGCCCACGGGGAAGCGAGCCACCACGCCACGCTGTCAGCACACTCAGGCAGTCTACAGAGACCCATGTGGCATGAACTAGGGTCTCTCACCAATACGGAGTGAAGAATCGAAACCTGGCGGCAACTATGTGTAGAAGCCGCCCCATCCCTACGGCCCTGCTCGGGCCTTCAGATGAGGCGGCCCTAGCTGACAGCCTGCCTGTGATGTGACCTCGTGAGCAATCCTGAGCCTGAGCCGCCCGGCTGGGCCACTCCCACGTTCTGACCCCCAGAAACAGAACTAATAGGTGTTGGTTATTTCAAGCTGCTGGGATTTGGGGTGATTTGTGACACCACAACAGTTTGCTAACGTAAGACCCAAAGGCAGCCCTGTGCTTCCTGGAGAGGTCAGGCCTCCGCCTCCCCTCAGCCCTTACTACTCCCAGGGCAGTTGTGAGGTGGGCCTCGGGTGCTGGGAGACCCCGCGGGGGGCAGGACTCACCCAGCTCAGTGGGCTTCAGCAGCTCATCCAGCATGTTAAAGAAGGGCAGCTTCACGAGGCGCACCTCCGGCTGGAGGGTTTTGGCGGGCAGCCGCCCAAGTCCATTTAAGTACTTCCCATAGAGCGTGGGGTAGTCGATGCTGGGGCCTGTGAGGGGAGTCCTGGGCACGGAGCCGGCCCGATCGTAGGCTGAGTGCATGGTCAGGGGGTCCAGGGGCCGGTGGGGCTGGGGGACGGGCTCTGAGCTCTTCTTGGCGTAGCGTGTCTCGTAGAGCTCCTTTATCTTCTTGAATAGCTCAGGGCTGCAGTCAAACTGGACCAGCTGGAGGGCCCGGGTGACAAGTTCGTGTTTAAGTCCACTCTTACTTCGGCCGACGAAACCCAAGAGCATCTGAAGATCGGAGACTCGGAAGCTCATCACCATGTTCTGGGGAAGAGCAACCAGACATGCGTGCTCAGAGTGGGCTGCCCATGGGCACAGGGCTCTCCTGGAGCCACCTGGGCCCTGACTGCGTGGGGACCACAGTGGACCGCGAGAGCCACCGCCCGGCCCTGCCTCCCCAGGCCCCCTTGGTGGTGGCAGGAGGAGGTGGCTTCAGCACCTGTCCCACCAGTCAGGCTTGGTCCCACCTCCATGCCTTTGCTCAGGCTGCCGACTCCCTCCTCCACGATGCCCCCTCCCAGCTCAGCCCTGCTTCCCTCCCCCTCCTCAAGCCTTCCTCAATCTCCCGACACAGCAAAAGCTCCTCTGACTGCCCCTCCACCCCACCACTACCTTCTATTTTAGGTTCTCTTTTCCCATCCTCAAGTCTGAAAGCATCCCCAGGGCAGGAACTGGGACTCTTGCTTTACTCCTAAAAACAGCCTCAGCCCCTCCCTAAGAACACTGATGCCTCTCTGACCCTCGGTCTCTTCATCAGGGGGGACGACAGGATCCACCTCATTGAAATGTGGGCAAGGAAGGCTGAGGTAAGGCACATAGAGCAGAATAAGTGCTCAGCCAACATGGGCTATGTACATGTTTTCCCTTCGGTCTGGAAGATGGCAGCCACATTACTTACTGCTAATCACCTGCCAGGAACAGAGTGGGACATGGGACGACATACTTAACCCTGATCCTTAAAACACCCCTGCCAGGTAGGCATGAACTCCAAGCTACATTCAAATGCGGGCCAGACTCTGAAAGTAGGTGTGGCTCCTTTCGGCCACGCTGCCCCAGCGCTAACACCGGGCTGAGCACAGCCGACGCCACCGAATGTCAGTGGATCATTTCAGCAGGCCTTCCCCCTTCGGCACTGCGGACACTGGGACGGGACAGATCTCTATGGGGGGCTGTCCGGGGCATTGGGTGCTGCTGCACAGCAGCCCTGGCCCCCCCAACTCAATGCCAAGAGCACTCCAGACCTCAGTCATGACGATCACAAATGTCCCCCAGACGTCACTAAGTATGCTCTGGGGGCAGGACCAGCCCCAATTAAGAACCCGGGGCCTGAGGGGAAGGCTTGGGGAATCCAGCGGTCGGAGAGGCTACCTGAGCTGCAGCAAAGTGATGGACGAGATCCAGCAGGGTCCCTCCAACAAAATCAAGCTGAACACAAGGGCTCAGCTGAGCCCTGTTTTTTGAGGGGGTTGCCCACTGGTGGTGAACTGCCCTCTGTGAGACTCTGGGACACCAAGGGGAGTGAGGCTCCCCAGTTTGCTACATAAGTAAAGTGTCCTCAAGGGATGGGCTGGCAGTGCCACCCATGTTGAGCCCTGAGGCCAGCCTGCGATGAATGAAATGTCATGGGAAAAAGCAACTTCCAGGGAAGCAGGGGAAAAAATAGAAGTGACAAGACTGGGCACAGAAAGCAGGTGAGTGGAGCAGGACAGCACCCAGGGAAGCCGCTGAGCCCTTAAACGCAACACAGAGAGTCTGACAGTCAGAGGTGGGTGGGCGCCCTGCCAGGGGGTGCATGGTGTGGCCTCAGTGCCAGAGGCTCTGTTTTTTCCTGTCTCCTGGCTGTCAGGGATGAGGCGTGAACCAGACAGTGGCGCTGGGGCTCAGGAGCCCCGGGTTCCAATCCAGACTCTGCCCTAGGTTCCCTGATGCCCCTGGGTCTGCTGTCAGGCCTCGCTGTGCTTTGGACTCCTCCTGTCAGTGTAGGACGGGAACCCTCTATGATTCCAGATGCCTGCTGGAGACAGAAGGGTTGTCCAGGTTCCAAATGACAGACACAAATGTGCTGGGCCGTGCAGTACTGCCTGCAAAACCTCAAGGGGGAGACCCTGCCTCCAACTCCTGCACTAGACATGGAGTACCTGGCCACGCACAGGGGCCTTCCATGGTCACGGCTCTCACAAACACCAGCGCCCACTATGCAGATGAGACCGCCAAGGCTTCAAGGGGGAGGCTGCTGGCCAGGGGCCTCCCTGCGTGTCAGGGGCAGGCTGGGCATTGGATCCCTGAGGACGCTTCCTCCCAGCTGCCTGGGGACCTTCACTCCCTAGCACACCCACACCCGGGGACCAGAGCAGTCTGCCAGCCCTCAGAAAGTCCAGAATGCTTTGAAAACAAGAGGCTTCACCTTCCCTCAGACTCACTTCGTACCTTGAGCAGAGAAAAAAGGCTTGCGAACAAGAGGTTTCTTCTGGAAGCAGCCCAAGGCTTTAGAGGGGAGAGGCGATGTCATGTGGAAGCTGATCGCCTGCCATGGAGCCAACGGCAGGTGGGCTCGGCCTTGCCCAGTCTGGCCACAGCACATCTGACATCATGCTGCCCCTGGGAGGCCCCTGCCTCCTCCAGGGCCTAGCCCCTTCCACCAGGTCGGACATCCGGAGCTGCAGCACTGGCATCCTGGGCACACCCCTTGAGCTGCCATATGTTCATGACTCGTGTTTCTCAGCAGCTGCCACCCCCAGGGCGGCTGCCCATGACACTGGGAGCAGGGCACAAACACTCAGGAAGAAGCCCCAAGTGTTTCGCGGATCACTTCCTGCCCTGGCTTCATCCTGCCCCGCCTGCCCCTCAGCTCTGTGTTTATAAACAGCACCAGGCCACCATGGCTTCCAGTCTCCCCTCTGGGCCTGTTTGGAGCCATGAGCAGAAACATCAGCCTGGAAAGAGCCGCTGCGCTTAACTTCTCCCCAGCATGCGCTCCTCTGAGCATCAGAGAGAAAGACGTTAAGGCCCCTCTCTCCAGGAAATCGGAGATCTGTGCAGAGCGCCGCACACTATCTCCAGGAGTGCACAGAACGCCCCCTCTCCCCAGCCCCTGGTGCTGGTGGTGGGGGCTTCAGTTAAGAGTCTCAGATTTCCAAGTTTATCAGCAAGCCTCCTCTTCCTCCCCTCAGACTGGCCTGTTTACACCCCAAAAGACACAATCTCCAGCTCTTAATGTGAGAGGCTAGGAAAGGGCCTAGAAGAGGGGACGTTTCAGTTCCACAATAAGGCACTCCACCCTGACAGCAAGGGCCTGAGGGAAAGTCTCCCCAGGCTCAGAGCAAGTTGTGCTGCGGTCCTAAGCCCCCCTGAACGGAGGATCCGTTTTAGAGAACTTGAAAAAAGGTCCACTTCATTTAATTGGGGTGGGGGCCCCAGCCACTGGAGGGTCAAGTAGAGTTCATCAGATCATATTTCAAGGCCCTGGATGGTATAAAAAAAAGAGTTCAGACCCTACCCTCTGGCTGGGATGGGGGCCCAGTCCCAGCACCACACCCCGATGAGGAGGTTTGGGGCCCCGGGGAACTTGAGCCCGCAGGCTGCTGCCTTGAGCTTGCAGAGTTCAGCCCACCACACCTCCAGGGCAAGTGTCAATTTCTCAAAGCCCTACAAGGGGCAGAAGTGTGTGGGGGGAAAATATTGGGCGTGGGGCTTTGGGGTAAAGGTAATAATACCCCATAATCACAGAATCTTGAAGGCCTCATTTCAGATCTCAGCAGGAAGGGAAGGGAGATACAAGGAGAGGGAGGGGCAAGAGAAAAACACTTGACAGGTCAGAACCTTGGTTGGGGAGAGGGTGATGTCGTAGTCCTGAGAAGGTCCAATTCCCCACCTTCTAGGGATTGGTGGCAATGAGTAAACTTCTCTGGGAAAAAGGGAAGAAACTTTAGTCTAGTAGAGACAAGGGTTCTGGACCTCACCACAAGGGAGGCACCTATGAGAAAATACAGTCCCAGAGGGTTAAAAGGGGCCTCGACTGGAAAAGGGGATGGTGTCTATACCATGTGCAATCTGGGCCCCAACCTGGAGTATGGGGAAGCAGCAGCTTCTGGTGCTATCTTTAAGCTATCTTAAAGGAAAAGGCCTACACTGGAACCAGCCAGGACTCTCCAAGGATGGCTCCCCAGTTTGCTACATAAGTAAAGTGTCCTCAAGGGATGGGCTGGCAGTGCCACCCATGTTGAGCCCTGAGGCCAGCCTGCGATGAATGAAATGTCATGGGAAAAAGCAACTTCCAGGGAAACAGGGGAAAAAATAGAAGTGACAAGACTGGGCACAGAAAGCAGGTGAGTGGAGCAGGACAGCACCCAGGGAAGCCGCTGAGCCCTTAAACGCAACACAGAGAGTCTGACAGTCAGAGGTGGGTGGGCGCCCTGCCAGGGGGTGCATGGTGTGGCCTCAGTGCCAGAGGCTCTGTTTTTTCCTGTCTCCTGGCTGTCAGGGATGAGGCGTGAACCAGACAGTGGCGCTGGGGCTCAGGAGCCCCGGGTTCCAATCCAGACTCTGCCCTAGGTTCCCTGATGCCCCTGGGTCTGCTGTCAGGCCTCGCTGTGCTTTGGACTCCTCCTGTCAGTGTAGGACGGGAACCCTCTATGATTCCAGATGCCTGCTGGAGACAGAAGGGTTGTCCAGGTTCCAAATGACAGACACAAATGTGCTGGGCCGTGCAGTACTGCCTGCAAAACCTCAAGGGGGAGACCCTGCCTCCAACTCCTGCACTAGACATGGAGTACCTGGCCACGCACAGGGGCCTTCCATGGTCACGGCTCTCACAAACACCAGCGCCCACTATGCAGATGAGACCGCCAAGGCTTCAAGGGGGAGGCTGCTGGCCAGAGGCCTCCCTGCGTGTCAGGGGCAGGCTGGGCATTGGATCCCTGAGGACGCTTCCTCCCAGCTGCCTGGGGACCTTCACTCCCTAGCACACCCACACCCGGGGACCAGAGCAGTCTGCCAGCCCTCAGAAAGTCCAGAATGCTTTGAAAACAAGAGGCTTCACCTTCCCTCAGACTCACTTCGTACCTTGAGCAGAGAAAAAAGGCTTGCGAACAAGAGGTTTCTTCTGGAAGCAGCCCAAGGCTTTAGAGGGGAGAGGCGATGTCACGTGGAAGCTGATCGCCTGCCATGGAGCCAACGGCAGGTGGGCTCGGCCTTGCCCAGTCTGGCCACAGCACATCTGACATCATGCTGCCCCTGGGAGGCCCCTGCCTCCTCCAGGGCCTAGCCCCTTCCACCAGGTCGGACATCCGGAGCTGCAGCACTGGCATCCTGGGCACACCCCTTGAGCTGCCATATGTTCATGACTCGTGTTTCTCAGCAGCTGCCACCCCCAGGGCGGCTGCCCATGACACTGGGAGCAGGGCACAAACACTCAGGAAGAAGCCCCAAGCGTTTCGCGGATCACTTCCTGCCCTGGCTTCATCCTGCCCCGCCTGCCCCTCAGCTCTGTGTTTATAAACAGCACCAGGCCACCATGGCTTCCAGTCTCCCCTCTGGGCCTGTTCGGAGCCATGAGCAGAAACATCAGCCTGGAAAGAGCCGCTGCGCTTAACTTCTCCCCAGCATGCGCTCCTCTGAGCATCAGAGAGAAAGACGTTAAGGCCCCTCTCTCCAGGAAATCGGAGATCTGTGCAGAGCGCCGCACACTATCTCCAGGAGTGCACAGAACGCCCCCTCTCCCCAGCCCCTGGTGCTGGTGGTGGGGGCTTCAGTTAAGAGTCTCAGATTTCCAAGTTTATCAGCAAGCCTCCTCTTCCTCCCCTCAGACTGCCTGTTTACACCCCAAAAGACACAATCTCCAGCTCTTAATGTGAGAGGCTAGGAAAGGGCCTAGAAGAGGGGACGTTTCAGTTCCACAATAAGGCACTCCACCCTGACAGCAAGGGCCTGAGGGAAAGTCTCCCCAGGCTCAGAGCAAGTTGTGCTGCGGTCCTAAGCCCCCCTGAACGGAGGATCCGTTTTAGAGAACTTGAAAAAAGGTCCACTTCATTTAATTGGGGTGGGGGCCCCAGCCACTGGAGGGTCAAGTAGAGTTCATCAGATCATATTTCAAGGCCCTGGATGGTATAAAAAAAAGAGTTCAGACCCTACCCTCTGGCTGGGATGGGGGCCCAGTCCCAGCACCACACCCCGATGAGGAGGTTTGGGGCCCCGGGGAACTTGAGCCCGCAGGCTGCTGCCTTGAGCTTGCAGAGTTCAGCCCACCACACCTCCAGGGCAAGTGTCAATTTCTCAAAGCCCTACAAGGGGCAGAAGTGTGTGGGGGGGAAATATTGGGCGTGGGGCTTTGGGGTAAAGGTAATAATACCCCATAATCACAGAATCTTGAAGGCCTCATTTCAGATCTCAGCAGGAAGGGAAGGGAGATACAAGGAGAGGGAGGGGCAAGAGAAAAACACTTGACAGGTCAGAACCTTGGTTGGGGAGAGGGTGATGTCGTAGTCCTGAGAAGGTCCAATTCCCCACCTTCTAGGGATTGGTGGCAATGAGTAAACTTCTCTGGGAAAAAGGGAAGAAACTTTAGTCTAGTAGAGACAAGGGTTCTGGACCTCACCACAAGGGAGGCACCTATGAGAAAATACAGTCCCAGAGGGTTAAAAGGGGCCGCGACTGGAAAAGGGGATGGTGTCTATACCATGTGCAATCTGGGCCCCAACCTGGAGTATGGGGAAGCAGCAGCTTCTGGTGCTATCTTTAAGCTATCTTAAAGGAAAAGGCCTACACTGGAACCAGCCAGGACTCTCCAAGGATCAAGACAAGAGATCATCAGAAGTTGGGGTGGCACACTCAGAAGCCAGACCCGAACGCGTAAACATAAAGCAGGGACTGCTGGGGGGCTGTGTAGGAAAGGAGTTTGATCTGAGAAGGAAACTCCACGGGGAGTACAGCATAGGGGAAGCACCTATGTGGGGTCTGATCCCGGGAGTGTGGGGTTTAGAGCCCTCACAGATGCTGTCCCGAGGGAAACAGGAAGGAGAAAGGCAGAGGGTAGGACCTAAGACTGTTTGCACGACGAACAGGGGTCAGGGCTCTCTTCCAGCGAGGAAAGCAAGCTCGCTCCCCGAGCGCGAGAAGGGACGGTGTCAGCAGGGGGGCGGGGCTCTGGGACCAACGCGGGAGCGGAACGGGGGCTCCAAAACCCAGCCCTAGGTGCAGGCTCCAAGAGGGCGCACTGTACTTGGGGGCTATTCGGGACCCTGGCTCATCACCTGGATGGTGGAGGATGTGGCACAACGGTCAGGGGACCGTTCTGAACAGGGAGTCGCCAACCCCAGCCTGACTTGCTGGACAGGGAGCCTGCGACCCAGATGCCAGCCCTCCGTGCCGTGGGGGCGCGGGAAGGCGAAGACACTCCCCCACGCCGAAGAGCACAGATCCCTGCTCGGGACAAGGGGGGTACGAGCCACCCGGCCCGTCACGCTGTCCGGGGAGACTGTGCCTGAAGCTGGGAGGCGCGGCCCTGAGCCCGTGTTCAGGAACACCCAGACCCTAACCGCTCCGGCTGGTGGCACGGACCGCGCCTCAAGTCCAAGTACCGACTCCCGCACGGAGGCTGCGGGGAGGCTCTGAGGGGACCCCGCCCCCGCCTCCCCCGCCCCCGCCCGCACTAGAGCCCCGGGGTCGGGGGCGGGTGAGGGGGCCGGGCTGCGAGTCGCGGGCGGACCGCGCCTCGGGGCCCCGGGCGGAAGGCGCAGACCTCGGCCCGCCACCCGGCCCCCGCCCCCTCGCCCGCCCGCCTGGGCCGGCTCCGCCGCTGCTCACTCACTTTGGCCTCCACCAGCTCCGCCGCCATCTTGGCCACCAGCGTCCCCCGCGCCGGGAGCCCCCGGCCGTCGCGTCACGTGACCACCCGCCAGTAGCGGGCGGGGCGGCCGCCGCGGCCAATTATCACCCGCGCGCCCTCCTCCCACTCGGCCGGCGCTACTGCGCACTGCGCGGGCGAGCGCGGCCGCCGCCCGGACCTCGGGCCTATCAGGACGGCCCGACACCGCCCCGCATTGGCGCTCAGCGACCACGCCTACCACCGCCCCCGGCCGGCTTCTTAAAGAGACACGAGCCCCGCACAGGTGGGGCGTGTCAGGAGTTCCTTCTTGGGAGGGAAAGAGAGAAGAGGCGGTGGCGACAACAAAGCAGCTGGGTGCCGCTGTCCCAGCTCTAGGCGCCCGCCAGGTGCGTGCCCAGACGCCGGGCCGGCATCGAGGGAGAGGACGGTTGCTCCAGCGCAGTGACCGCCCGCGCTTGCAGTGCGGCGCCTTGCAGCCTCCGCGGGCCCAGCGCCCCGCGCGCTGCACATCCGGGTCTTGGCGCGGCAGCTGGGGAGCGGGCGCTGCTCCCCTGGCTGGCCCCGGGCTGAGAAATGCGGTACCCCGTTGCCCAAGTGCCCGGAGCTTATGTATCCCTCACTCCTACTGGTGACCTAGCCC